GATAAAGATCCATAAACTTTGTATCCATGTACACATCAACCTATTTTCACTTAAAAAAACATCAGAGAATTGCACAAATTTGGCATTGCACACTCCCTTGACTTTCTCCATGTACACGTCAACCTATTTTCACTTAAAAAAAGTCATCAGAGAATTGCATAATCTAGGCATTGCGCACTCTCTCGACTTCGTCTGTGTACACATCAAACTATATTTACTTAAAAAGTCACAGGAGCAGCCAACAAAACAATACATATATAATTTCAATAAACTACATTTTAAATCAAACAATGAAATAACATAAAAAAGGAAATTCGCCTTTGCACTACACAAAGGAAATATTCACCTACTTTATTTACGAATTAACACGTCTTCAGTCAAACAAAATTCCTTAACAGCATCGAAAAACTTCCTAAAATTATCTGAACTAGAATCTGTATACCGATGTTGCCACATAAATTCACAAAATAAGAGTAAAAAATATCCTCCATAGCATCGTTCGACCATACGCATTTCCTTCCTACAAACGGAACACTTAATAATGGCTACTAAGTAAAAAGTAAGCCTTCATTTACATACCAGTCAAGTAATGCTCTTTTCCCCTTTCTTTCCAAATCGTACAGAAACTTAAAATAATCTTACCTCATTCAGCCATTTTACCATCTAAACCACAAAATAAGCAATAAACTTCCTAACCAACACACACAAACCCTTATGAATTTACCGCGATCATGCAACCGATTACATCATAATAGGGTTTCCATAACATTCAACTGCTCAGGCTACCATAAATGAAACAACAACTTGGCAATAAATGAAACAACAACTTCATGATAATACAGTCAAAAGTCGTTAATTCGGTCACCCATAATCCAGAATGATCTATAATTCAGACCTCAAAGTTACAAACTTTCTGCATAGGTATTTACGCGTGCGTGTAAGACCTTTACGGCTGCGAATATGCAAGTGTGCATGCGCAAAATACATTTACGCATGCACGTTTAATGTATAACGGATGGTATAAGCTAAGTTAAAATGATCTAATTCAGTTAATGTTGCAGATAAGTTAATGTTGTTCCTTAATCTTCGAATTGGAACCGGCTTATTATTTTTTGCAAACTGTTAAAGCAATTTTATAAAAGTAAGCTTGAACTTTCGATTATGTCAAATAGAATTTCCGATATATATTGACTAATACGTAAAGGATCTACAAAGCAAAGGTATGTTTCGAAGTCCATTAAACAAAAAGTGGAATTGCTGCAAAAAATGGATAAAGGCATATCTCTAACCATTCTGAAATCTGTTTATCAATTTCACGCTGCTCTGCGGCGGGGAAGGGGGTGACGCCGCGGTGCGCAATGAATTGGAAGTTGATCTGTCTGCACTATCCTTATCTTCAGGGCAGATGTTTTTATTTTATTTGGCTTATAATTCCTTACTAAATGTAGTATTTCATCTCAATGTACTCCGTCTTTGATATGATTTAAATCAAATTCCTCGTCATTATAATTCACTTCTGATAGTGAAGAAAGTGACACACAGGTTATTGAAAACGAAAAAATTTCGATTGACAAATTAGTTGGTATTCTCGACACAGCAATTATAGGACTTGAACAGAGGAACTTTGTAACTGAAGAAGAAATTATGTCTGTTTATAGAATTAAAGAGAAAGTATTATTCCATAAAAAACTAAGCAACTTAAACAACTTACATTGAAAGAAATGTTTAATAAAGTAAACAAATAAATATTAAGCTTTTTTTTTTGTAAATTTTGATACCCTTTAGATCATAATTGCTCTTTTTTCATAAATTATAGTTTCATATTTTTAATTTTATAATTTCTGCATGCCATCTTACCAGATTTAAATTGATGATCTATAATCCAGAATCGCAGACGAGTCCGGATTATCGACTTTTGACTGTACAAGGGGTACCCTTCTCTTTAGTCTAACCACAAGTGATTTTACTTCAAAATTATTACTTGGTCTCCTGACCTCTGATATTTAGCAGTACTAAAACAGCAATTTTCCCCATTAACTGAATAAGAAAGCTTTGCCTCTTAGAATAATTCTTACTGTTTTATGGAAGAAACATGCAATCTAATGTATCCATTTATTCATCACGGAAAGATTCCCTAAGAACTTGCACTTGATGTTTTTAGAAACAAATTTCTTTTCAGTACTTCTTTGTTAAAATGGCCACGGTATATGTTTATCACTACAAATGAAATTTGTTCATTGCAGATAAAAAATTAAAAAAAAATCAAGTTTGTCAATTCTGGTGACAAAGCACAGTGGCTACTTTAACAAGAAGTACCCGCTTTTTCTTCAAAAAGTTCATCTGCCATCAATGAAAAACTAGTAAATGATGAAAAATGGTATTTCATGCAAGGTGGATATTGAATTGCATGAGGACATCAATGATAATTTAGTAACCAGGGCTGTGGAGTCAGTAGGAAAAATGACCGATTCCGACTCTTGGAATTTTAGACACCGACTCAGACTCCCTCATATATATATATATATATAATGTAAACATAAACACATGGGTTACAATTTATTTGTTTTACTATAAAAGAAGTAATAGATGCTACAGGGGAAAAATTTTATTGCATAGCAAATTACTTATATTAATAAGCATTTATTATGAAATGGAAAAATTATGATTAGTTATTTCTAAGAAACAGTATAGTTTCAGCAAGATCTTCTTTGTTGGAGGGCCGTAGATCCGATTTGATAAACTTCAGAGCTGAGAAGAATCTTTCCAAGCTAACTTGAATACGAGGAATAGCTGTTACTATTAGGGCTAATTCTTTTAACTTTTCAGAATAGATTTTTATAAGTTCTAAAAGAGGTGTCTTGCAAGCGCAATCATATTTCACTATTTCTTCAAAGGCCATGTAGAAATCTTGTTTGTATTTTTTTCATTTTTATATCTAATGGCTTTCGTTCTTTATTTTCATTCGCTTTGCCTTAGCCTTTTCAATATTATCCAAAACTATTTCTTAAAATCTAATTCATCATTAGAAGAGGATGATAGACACTCAGTTGCAATGTCTGCAGTTTGACTGTCCTGATTCAAATTCTGGACTTGTTCTGAGAATAAATTTCTTTCCTAATGAAAGTTCATAAATGACTTTCTTTGCCTTTTTAATTTGTTCGTCATCCAAGAAAATTCAGTGTTTCGAATCTACATATATTGAACCCAGCAAAATCCTTTGTCTAGCAAACTAGTTTCCTTTTTCTTTATTGAAGAAATGATTCCTTCTGTAATAAACCCTCCATTTCAGAAAGGACAAACATCCCATTCTTCCATTCTCACCTCCTGTCAATTCTTCAGATTGCAGGTTTTTGCAGCTATATATGGTGTAGAAAGAAGAGTTTCTAATTCTGCAAGATTATTCCAGTCTTTCTGTTAGTGAAACATCTTCTAAAAAGGTTATCTACATTTTCTAAAAAGGTTCTTAATTCTAACAACCTCTTTATCATCAAATATGTACTTCCTTGATCAATAATTACCCCTTTTCCTGCTTGCTTCCTAAAAGTGGCATCGATTTTGGAAGTTCTTGCTGCTATTGCTGCTTACCTAAATTTACCAGTGCAATCTGTAACTAAATGAATCAGTTTAATCACTAATGGCAAATATCACATCTATCTTCCTCCCTTATATTTATTTATTAATATGTTAATAAAATAGAAAATAATTAATACAAATAAAAATTTATAGTCCATAAATAAAAATAATAACTCAGGTTGCCATTAATTATTTTTCAATTCATTTTAATTTCATTTCAAAATCAAACTGTCCAACAAAAACTGGAGTCGACCTGTTTTTAGCAACTCCAGCTCCGACTCCTTTTACCCCAAGATCTGCCCGACTCCAATTCAGACTCCACAGCCCTGATACTAACTGTCCAATAAAATTCTGGATGATGACAGAGAACAGACAGAAAAGGAAAAGACCTTCATACATTTACAAACCAACAGAAGTTTTCGAATCTCTCCCATCACATCAATTATCTTACTGATCTTACTATTATGACACACATCTGCAGGAGGTACACGAGACGACTGCTTGCCTCACATGAATTGAATAAAAATGCAACAAAATACAAATTTATTGAAACAATTAACTTATATCAAATATTTTTGGCTTCCCTAACAAACATTCCACATACTTACTTCATCTCATCCAATAATTTTAATATATTCATTTGATTCTCAGAGAGTTTTAAAATTAAAATTCTGTTCAATCATATATTTTTAACTGAATTTCCAATTTTCAATTATTACCAGCCATTAATAATTATTTAAAAATTTAAATTACGACTTCAAAGAAAAATACATGAGTAGACAAAATTCTAAAATTTCAAAAATTCAGATGACAAGGGTATTTTTAATGAAAGTTAAAAACAGAAAAAATTTAGAATGTACAATACTAAATAAATTAAAATTTTCTGGTTTTTGAATTATTCAAAAATTTAAATCATATTTTGTAAATCCAGTCACTGACAGCTTTTATTCTGCCCTGTTACTTTCAGATTTTTAATAATAATTTCAATCTTATTTTTGCTTTGGATTTCTTTAATTTTCACTAGCATTTCATTATTATGTTGTTTTCGGCAAGTTATATGTCCTGACATCTAAATGAGACTATGATTAAATTAAATAGAACAGAGAGCTAATTTTAATCATTAATACTAGGTGGTTATAAAGGAAAAGCACCTATGCATATGCTTGCATAAACAGACTAACAAAGAAAACCCTAATAGCAGGATTTAACATATGGGCACTAGACTCAATGGTTTCAAAGTATTATTTCAGCTCAAAATTAATTTATTTCCAAGCAAAATAGATTTCGTAAACTTGTTACTGCAAAATATACCTCAAAACAATATTTGGAACATTATGACATAAAGTATTAAAATAATAGAACATGCACCGGATTTTCTACACATAATTTAAAAATAAGAACTATGCAACTAAATCCTTTGTTCTTACTTGTACTGTCGACATCCGCAGTTTCAGATTCGACATCAGAATGATTTTCTAAACTTTTCATAGATTCCATAGTTTAGAACACAAAAACAGAATTTACCGTTACAGAATGTGATAGAGTTTTGAAATGAATACCAAAATTCCTTTCAGTTCGTTAATTTTTGATGAAGACAACCGGAAAGATTACAGACAGGAAATACTTCACATCCTTTCGCCGCAGATTTTAATGCACCGCGTTATAAAGTGTTGCGACGTGAAAGTGAAATAATGCGACTATAAAACGAATGTATAACATAAATTTAAAGCCAGAAAAAACTTCAATGCTACTGGCTGCCAGCCAGCGGTGAATTGCATCACTATTTTGATGCGCAGTGCACAAAATTAGAACTAATGGGCAGGAAGGCAGATGTAAGATAAACAAAGTGAAAAAATAGGAATACTTGATAAACAGTGAGGAGGCAACTCGGCAAGCTGATGACAAAATAAACTAATAAAAAGAATTAATAAAATCAACGTTTTATGTGTTACCTTTATTTATTAATTATCATGTTCTTCGCACTAAAACCATAAAATTCGATTCAACAGCAATATCTCACAACCAAACAATTAGTTAGTCTCACCGAGTTTATTGGCAACACCTTACATAACAAGGAAAATGTCGCCTTACCACGGAGTTATACTCCATGCGCCTTACTCATGCTGGACGTGGAGAAAGCCTTCGACCGCGTCTGGCATGAGGGGCTCATTTATAAGCTGATCCAGCTAAATTTTGACCGTGAACTGATTCTGTTAATCAATTCTTTTATTGTTAACAAAAGATTTTATGGCTCAATGGGTCAGGACACCTCTAGCGTCAGAAGAATGTGCACCGGTGTAACGCAAGTGTCCAATTTAGGACCTATTTTGTATGTTTACTACGTGATGGTCTTCCCTAAATTACAGATGATCACAACAGCTTTCTTGGATGCTACGCAGATGACACTGCGTTAGCGATTAAAACATTGAAGACTGGTGCATCAAATGGCGCGTCGCAATAAATGCTCAAACGTCCCAATTAGTGATTATCATGAGAAGGCAAAGAAAAACTATTTGTTGCAACTCTCAGGGCTACAACGTGCAGGTTACAAATTAAATAATCACAGCAGGGATTATTAATATAAAGATTTAATATGGATATCTCACACAAGCTGAAAACGTTACATTGCTATAACTAGTGCATACACATAACTGAGTGATAAGGGAATTTCCCCGCTTAGTTCGCAGTTAAAGAAAAAAATAAGAATAATAAAAAAATAGTCTAATCAAATGCGGCGCTCCTTCTGTGGACTTTGCACAGCCGTTACGTAATCCTCTGTCTGCAGCGGCCGTCTCCAACACTATTAATACTAATCTCAGTCTTTTTAATGAGACGATTCCACTTGTAAAGAAGGCAACTTATTTAGGGGTTGTCATCAATCATAAGTTCACCTGGTCGGACCCATATTGACAAGGTCAGACGTAAGGCTTTGTATATTATTCACCAATTAAATCCACTGCTAAGTTCAAGCTCGAAACTCAATCTTGTCAAAAAGAGGCACATCTACACTGCTGTTATCAGACCGGTGCTCTGTTACACCTCACCAGCATGGGCCGCGGCCTACAACTCAGAGGTTGCAAAATTACAGGTCACCCAAAATAAGTACCTATACCGGATTACGAACGCCCACTACTTTGTTAGCAACGATACCTTGCATAAAGATTTAAAAATTGAGTATATGGATGACTACCTGCAGATTACTTTGCTAAAGCACGTGAATGCATACATCTAAGCTCTTTAAATGTTTTCAATTATGAAATTTTGCAAGAAGACCACGATAATCGGCCCCTCGCGACCAACCTCACCCGAGATTCTAACTTCTCCACCTATATACTGCACTGTATATAGTATTGATAGTGATTTATTTACTAAAAAATATTGATGAATTGATTATATTATCTCCTAAGTTTAATTATAGTAGGATTATCTTAAAAGCATTTTATTTTATTTTGTTTCATTTACTCGGCATTATATTTTGTGTATTCTCTGTACTTTCACATGTTCATGCAGTATTAGGTTCACACCTCGCACTATTTTGCTTATCCGTTTTACGACTCCATTTGCTTCACTGGCCTCGTTACTGTCGGCCACACACGTTTCCACCCCCTTAGTCCTCCCTTGGGATACCAGGGTCATGTAGCATTCGCGTTATGTGCCATAAAGGAAAAATTCCATGCAATATCTCGGCATAAAATGATCGGATCGGATCGAACAGCAATATCGTAAAATAATTTTTAAATGAGCATATCTTTATAATTTCCGATGCACAGTCTCTACTACTACTAAGAACGTATAGTAAATTAGAGTTTCAGAAAGCAGCGCCTTCTTTTGCTCTGCATCTGGTGAAGACGATCGGTGAAATAAAATGAGTAGTATGGGAAAAATGACGCGAAAGTATATGTGGCCGCCATCAGTTGACAAATATGATGAGTTTCTGGTGGAAGATCCAAATCAGTAAACTGAAGAATCTAGTGCAGTGACGGCGAACCTATGGCACGCGTACCACAGTCGAATCAGGCGAACTCAGTTCGCAAACATCAGCACCCGCGCGGCAGCGCTATCACGGACTAACCATGTTGACGATTTTCGAGCTGTGATACTGTGATTACTTAGGCTGGTCTCAGCACGAGCTTCATCGCGCTCTTACCAGCACCTCAGGTGCCCCTTAACAGAGATTCCACGCGTACGGGACCTTCTTTGGATTGCCACTAAAGCTGCGTTCAGACGAGGGCGTAAAGGGCATAAGTGGTTAAAGCCGAGCTCCGTTGCCAAGGCAACCCGTCTGTGCCACGTCATAAAATCTGGTTTAGGGCTCATGACATAGGGTTCAAAGTTTTCAATTTTACGCCGAGTTTGGGATAAGCGTCGACCAATCAGAGCGAAGCTAAAACGAAGCGGCGTTCTACAGACGATTTCGCGGTCACAAAATAAGCAGAGCGAACGCGGGGAAATCAATCGAACAAGAGAACAGAGCGGGAAACTCATAGACACATCCAACGCATGCGCAAATTTAGCTTCTCGCATTGGTCACGGCTTACACACCGTTCTCGCAGGGTAACGGAACTCCCGTATTTTATGCCTTTATGACTCGTCTACGCCCTTTACGCCGCCGTCTGAACGCAGCCTAATGGGTGAACTAGGTGGAGAAAAAAAATATAGGCCCTTGCCTGTAATTATGGTGTTGCAAGAACACGGAGATGTGAGGATGTCATAATATGTCCTATTTATGATACTTGTTTGTAAAATTACTACTTGAAACCAACATTGTCCCTTAGGGCCTTTGTGAATATGAAAAGATGAGAAATAAAAAGTGACTGTGCAAAGGACAACACTGACCTATACTGAGCAACTTCCGACCAAAGTTAGCCTAAAGGCAACAAACGGAATATGTTACTCAGAGGTAAAACCATCTACTAGCTACTAACCACAACCTTAGGTCGGGGCCAAAACAGATCAGTCGGGGACTAAAATGTCAAAGTCAAATTTCAAAGTTTTACATTTGTACAATATACAGAGTTATTTGTATATATTGCGTACGTTGAAGAAATTCATCTGAAGTTATTATATTAAGATTTTCCAGAATAGTTAAGACAGGAGTTGACAGCCTCCTACGGTAACAAACATGGTAAGAATAAATGCAAAACGTTTAAAGTAGAAGATCATAGATAAATGTCAGTCATATATAATAGAAAAACACAAGTAAATGAACAGTAAGGATCAACATCCCGTTCAGAATCTGCACAATATATCAAATGAAGTAGTCAAGAAGTAGTATAGTCATGAAAAAATCAGATCTGATCTCTAGAGTCCAAATTTAAGTGTAAATGAACATATTTTATGTTCCATAATCCAGTACTAAATGTTTTGTCCAAAGCAAAGTATTGTGCAGTTCATACAACATTCAAGTCATATAACTCAGAGGTACTGGAATTTGTACTAAATCATAGTAATAAAATCCGAAAATTCAATCCAGATGTTTGTTGATTCCATTACAATTAACAGTTGTCATATAATTGTAACAATGAGTTAAAGAAGATCATACCAGATATACACAATATAGAACAAACATTATGTTTTCATACTTGGCCATAAATGAGCCAGGAGAAAACTATGAGTACAATTATATGTTAATCTACACAAGAACAGATTAGCATAATATTGAGAGACTGCACAGGAGTCAGATATCAAATGTTAATAGATGAGTGACATATGGGCGTAGGTTGAAATCATTTTCTAAGACTTCATACTTAAAGTTATCGGCAAAATGAACTGTGTCGTTGCTAATCGCTTTGTTGAAAACGTTATTGTTAATATGTCCGATGCGCGTTTTGATATCTTCCACTTTTAGATCTTCGTGTAAATCCTCGTTACGGATGAACCAGGGCGCGCCCGTGATTTTTGGAAGGAACATATTTTGGAATGTATGGAGTTTATGGAAATCAGATTTAGATGCGGTACACCAGGCCGGTGAAGCATACGTGAGCACAAGGCGAAGTATTGATGTGTAAATACACTTTTTCCGCGCGAGATCAAATTTTGAGGATGCATTGATGATCGGGTTGAGTTTGCGATTAATACCAGTTGCTTTGCTGCCGACAGCAGGAAGGACTTAATTCTTTTCTGATCCTTAAATTCTTCATTAAAAAAATGCATTTTCAGCTATAATCAGGTAAAATAATTCTCTAAATATAATTAAAAGGCCCACCAGCGGCCGAGCGAAAAGCCGTTGAACACTGGTAGTTAGGTCCGGGGTTCGAATCCCGCGAACAGCTTCATACCACAAAACATACTAAATACAAATGTAAAGTGGCGCATGGATTGCGCAGTGTGTTTGCAAACCACATTGCGCAATCCATGCGCAAGCTAATGTCGAGATAAATCGTATTACTACTCCGGCCTTTAAGCTAGAGTCGAGATAAATCGTATTACTACGACTCCCGCCTTTAATGTGTTAAAAAATAATCAACTTTTCCCTGCAAGAACCCTCTCTATTCATGAAGTGGTTTTCCAACTTCTATACCCAGACTGTGAAATCTTTGTTTCTTTCACCTGTCCCCATTTCTGAGAAATATACTTGAATCGGAACTGCGAAACTTAAAACCAATGCAACAAGTCAAACAAAAGTGACACCTAACCAAAGTTACGCGATGTTTAAAAGACACGTTTACTGTTAAAATAAATAGGACAATCGGACACTAATGTGTCTCTCCCTTTAGCTTCCCTTTTTTCTTATACCCTCGGAAGAGCTTTGTTTGGATATTGCTATGTCATACCTAGTGAATGAACCGGATATGCCCTTTGTTGGTTATTCGCAGCGATATCTTTATCAGTATGTCCATAATTAGACCTGAGTTGCACAAAAGCCGTTACTGGAGACCATGGACCTTATAAGAGAAGATTTTTTTTTTAAAGTTTTGTGTGTTACCTATATTTATTGAATATCATGTTCTTCGCCCGTAAACCACATACATTTGAAAACAGCACATCTTTAGAATTTCCGCACTAATTTAGAGATAAAACTGTTATTTTCCATACAGTGTTCGCTCTGAACTCGTTGAGTTTGTTAATCAAAAATTTGTTAAAGTTTTACAAAATATGAAATAGATTAAAAAATTCAAATTCGGGGGTCGAAATTCGACCGTCCCGTCAGATGCCCATGTTCGGGTGGAGGATTACATTATTCAAAACTTGATGGCTCTAGATACTGTAGTTTTTGTCACAGTGCAAGAAACATACATGTATTCATGCAGATTCTTCGTTATTTAATTTCTTTATATATAACACAGGGAGATAATATTTGATAACAAGAATTTGCAAGGAGACACGTACATTTATAGTAAAACAGTGCAAAATGCCGCTTCGAAACTAACAGCCTTTCTAGGCTACCGCCGCTTTGGGCTAATACTATGCGTCCATTACTATGCTATGCATGCCCTGTAGGGGCCTATTCATATAATAGATATAGAGACAAGCTGCAAGTAGCACGAAACTCAACCCTCAGGCAAATAGCCAATGCACAATGGTATATACGTAACAATAGAATCCACGAAGAACTGATTATTCGTCCCCCTAAGTCCTTCTACTATAAAATTGCTAAGAGATTTCACAGCAAGCAGCTTACAATCAATAACCCTGCCATCAAAATTGCAAACGTACGACTATTATGACCTAAACAACAAAAACAGGCCACTTGCCATTCTCAATGAATGGATTATGTAATTTCTTTGCAATTTCTATGTAATTTCTATCTGTTCCTACTCGCACCTCACAATAATATGCAATGCATAGCATAGTAATTTTCCCTTATTTATTGTTTTTGTTTTGCATAATATCCTTATATTCATATATGATTGCACTACCTTACTATGCATAGTAATGTAAAATTATGTATATATTGCTTACCTTCTAATACCAGCATCCTCTCCTCGTTTGTTCTTTGCTAATTAAGGGCACAAACCTACTTTGCACTTGCTCATATACATAACCACCTTGCTTTGATCTTTACAGCTAGAAATACAATTACAATATTTAGTTATAAATATACATATGTATCACATATCTTTAATTAGCATTCTACCTTATATGAATATCTAGTCAAATTTAACAATTCAAATAAAAAATTAATAATAATAAACGAAAAAAATTAAACAAATCGAAAAAAATTTAAAAATTACATCCTATAAAGAGGATATTTTGTACTTATAATTTTCAAAATGTTCTAGAAGGTGTAGGGCCTAAGGCCCAGGTACCCTGGTGTACCAAAGCACCGTTCTACCAGGAGACGCTGATATCTCAGCGAACAGTTCGTGCAAAACGAAATTTTAATTGGTAACGAGTCAGTAATTGATGATGAGGTGCAACGTTGGCTCGACACACCTTCTCCACGTAACATTATTCAACTCAGTACTAGTTAAGGATATTATCAAGCATGCAAACGCAAAAAAAGGCTCCAGAAGTAGATAACATAACCAACAAAATGCTTAAATATCTACCGCACTGCCTGATCACCAAATTAACCAGTATTTACAACGCCCGTCCCTCACGCTCCTACTTTCCTACAGCATAAAAACATGCCAGCATTTTCCTTATCCAGAAACCTGACAAGCCCCCGGAAGAACCTGCAAGTTATGAACCGTTTAGTCTCTTATCTATCTTATTTTAAGGAAGATCTTTGAGAGACTTATAATTAACAGACTTAAGCAGCATACCGACACCATTGCAGACAAGCAGCATGGCTTCCGTAAAGGTCTACGAACCACTCATCCACTAATCAGTACGGAATACATCGGAGAGGCAATCCACAACAAAAACAGTGTGGCCAGCCTTATGCTAGACGTGGCGAAGGCCTTCGACCGTGTCTGGCATAAGGGTTTAATCTACAAGCTCGTGCACATGAATCTAACCCGGGAAATCACTTTTATACTCATATCCTATCTTAAAGACAGGACTTTCTCAGTAAAACAAGGAGCCACATTTCGATGCCTCATTACATCCACGCAAGCGTCCCACAAGACAGTATTCTTTCGCCGTAATTGTATACAATCTACGCTAACGAATTTCCTAACTTTAAAGATAAAACAAACACCATCTTAGCATGTTACGCGGATGATACCGCGATCGTCGCCAAATCAAGACGCCCCAACCACGCTCTAGAAAAATTTCAGTAAGCAATTCCAGAAACAGAAGAATGGTGCAAGAGACGGAAGGTAAAGAGAAATCTCAAGTTTCAGTTATCCAAAAATACAATACCAGCGATCAGCGTAGCTGTAAAATCACTAGGTTTAAGAAGCCAGTTCCCATCTTAACGAAGGCCAAATATCTCGACGTTATCTTCAACCGGAGTTTTACTTCGTCTAACCATATAAGTTATGTGTGTGGAAAAGCCTGTATCCTGTATAATAAAAAGACTGTATCCGTTACTCGCAAAAGAATCAGGCCTCATACTCACTCGCAAGAAACGGATATACACAGCCATCATCAGGCCGATGATATACTGCTCCGACCTGCGCAAGTGCAAACAAAGGAGACATCCACAAGTTACAAGTTCTTCAAAATAAATTTCTAAGGACTATTACAAACGCCCCTTACTTCATTAGAACCGAAAATCTACACTGGTATCTTAATATTGAATATATGAAAGACTTTTTACATAAACTCAACTCGAACTTCTTCCAGAAAGCCGCGATGAACAAGACTGCAAACTTTGCCCATATTCTGAATTACGAAATCATCTTAGAAGATTTGTTTATTCGTCCCTACACTTCATATTTAATCAGGCAAGAATAATAATTTTTTTAAATTTACAATAACATGATCATATACACGATGTTTACGTCCTCTCTCCGGAAATATTGACGCCGTAGGATTTCGACCTATCATCAACGAGCAACAGCCAGCAGCAAACGATTACAGAATTTTTATCTGCTTGTGAATTAATGCTATGATTTTTACATCATTTTCCTCGTACCACTCATAATTTTCCGATTATTTTGATGGACAATAAGCCTAATGAATGTAGCAATTAAAGAAATAAAAAAGCGAAATTGGACTTTACTACTTCACAAACAGCAACGCCGATTGGATAACGACTAGACCACGCCCCCTGCTCCTCGACCAGCATTTCTTCTCACCGGCTTCAGTCAGCGTTCGAGCATACATACATAAAGCACCATCTTCTCTCGTATTTATCATATCTTCCCATCAAAGGGAAAAAAATTCAGTTTTTCACACTGCTTAGGACTTTCTACTTTGAATGTCTGGGAAGTATTGCCACGGCAATAGATATCCAGAACAACACAGCAGTATCGCAGTATCACTTCTTTAGAGAGCCAGAGATTCTGACTAGCACGCTTTCGCATTTTCAGGCTTCTTTCTCTCTTAAGCTATTATTACGAAGCCTTGATAGCTTCGGCATTAATTAGAATCTTAATAGCTTTAATAATTTTTTATATCTTTTTAGTTAGATTAGTTAAGTTTATTTTTTAGTTTGCCGAGTTCAAGTCCGGGTGGAGGCTTTATTGTAAAACTCCAAGAAGGAGTTCTGTAAACTTTATTTAAAAAAATAAAAGGTATTTAACGATTCTCACGTTTTGTTCTCTGTCTCAACTCAATCGATTATTCGCTTATAAGTCGTTCATCAACTTAACTATAACTTAAAAGTACACAGGTTGGAATCTTACAACTTCAAAATGTTTTTAAATGAAATATATATATCTCTTTTAATTTCAAAACTTTTATTGCTCTTGTGTTACAAATTTTAAGACCTAACTTCTCATTTCTCAGAATAAAGGACTCTTTCCCCAAATGGATTATAAAACGGGTTTAAAATGGGTTCAGAAGAGATTTAGGCAGATAGCCCCCAAGGCTGTGCCATAATTAAATAAACCAAACTACTTAGTGTATTGTGCATCTATCCCTATTTTTTAATATTCTACTTCATTAAAAAAACCTAAAATTAGAAAAAAAAAATTAATTTCCGATGGTAACAAGCTCCACAAACGCACTTTTTTGGAAGTAATATTAATAAGATGTTGAATTTTTAGTTTTATATTTAAAGATAGGTGCTCTTTTTTTATATATTCATAGTATTTAAAAAGTTTTTACTTCATTTCCACGTCGCAAACCTTAAGATATGCGTCATAATAGTTATTTTGCAAACAGATATTGACAAATTCTTAGGAAGAAGTGAAAAGGTACTATTGGTAGGAATATTAACATTTTATCATAATCGTAATCGGAAAGTGTTCTGCTCGAAATTCATGTTTTGATTCACCGAGTGAAAACGTATTCTTTTTCATTAAATACTTTCTCAAATAATAATCACTTGACCATCCCTCTTTACCAATATGCTGAATCGTTTGTAAAGCATTCTTCAGTTCAATATGTCTCGCGTTATAGGCGCAGCTACTGTTCGATTAGTTGAAAAAACACGTCGATTACCAGCAAGGGCTGCTTTGGTGCTTACCCCTGCTGCAGTAAGTCGCATTAAAACTTTGCTTGAAAAAGAACCAAATGCCATAGGTCTTAAAATTGGCGTAGCTCAGCGGGGTTGCAATGGCTTAAGCTATACACTGAATTACGCGAAGGAGAAAGGTAAATTTGATGAAGAAGTTGTTCAAGATGGTGTAAAGATTTTGATCGATGCTAAAGCACAGTTGACTCTCTTAGGCACTGAAATGGATTTTCAAGAGACTACTTTATCTAGCGAATTTGTTTTTAACAATCCAAACATTAAAGGGACATGTGGTTGTGGCGAAAGCTTTAATATTTAAAGATTACTATTATAAATTTAGATATGTAAATATTAACTTAGGAAATTATAATAAATCTTAAGTAGTTTATGAAGGAAGTTGCTGTATGAGTTATTGTTATTGAATCTTTGTTTTGAATAGAATGTTTGTTTAAAAAATTATTAAAGCTAAAAGTATACTTTTTAACACTACATGCTGCCAAGAGTTGGTCTCCACCTAAAGTGTTACTCATATAAAGCTTTGATGTCAACCTGATGAATTGTATCTGTATGTAATAAGCAACATTATATTATGATTCAAATAATGCTGTATGATGCCTGCATCGCATTTTTAAACATGGATGTATTTCTAGACATCAATGCTGTCAAAAATCTCTGCTTTTAGTTGCATTTTAATGATGGGCGAGCATTGTTTACTATTAAATTTTTTAATTAATTTAAATTTTAATTGTATCTACTTACATAATAACATAAAAAATAATTGCTTTTGAAATATAAGTACAAATTTCAGATGTCTGCAAAAGTGTTTAAAAGCCCTTAATGTTAACCATGTCATTTGTTTGTAAATGAATGTAGAATTTGTTCGTAAATGAATTTGAATTAAAATATGGTTTGATTATTTAGTTATATTTTATTTTAAAAAATTATATTAAAATAATTTAAAAAACATCCATTACATTAATAAATTAATTGAAAATATGAACATGTTTTTCTTGCTTTTAATAAGTTTTGACTTAATTTAGTCATTCACTTACAAACTTGGTTCCTAGGCACGGAGGCATAAAGTATATAAAGCGGACATCATGCTTCAAATCTGAGGTTGAAAATGAGTCAGTTTCACACATCTTTTCTACTGCTGGTACTCATCTATTTCTTTGTTAGAACTGAATGCTATAGACATTAGTGATACTCCTGATAATATTTCTTAAATTTAAAGTGTTAAAAATAGTGTGTTTTTCTGCTATTGTATGTTTAGAAACAAATAATGCATTGAAAAAATAAAAAATTAAGCTTCCATAGCTGTGTTGCTTTCATATAGAAAGTCCAAAATAATCTAGTGACCAGATCTCTATACTATTAGTAATATATATATGTTACTGATGGTCTAAAAAAATTTAATGAGTAAGAAATTTAGAACTAATTTTTCACAAGGACCAAAAATTGAAATTCATATGTAATAAATTTCAAATAATCCTATAAATGAATAAAGAATTTAAAAAATGTTAAAACAAAAATTCTTCAAACAAGCAATACCCCAATTCAAAAAATCGATGAAATTTAAAGAAAAATGAACATAATACGTAGGTAAGTTGAAAAATAAGTTTCCCTTGTCGACTGTGGTCAGAGTTGTGTATGAAAGTCAAAAAATAGAATGAGACATTAAAGATATGACATACCTTTATTTTATTATTCTCGTACGAATACGTTGAGGCATTTGTCATATAGCTTGATAAGCTTCAAAAAGTCCTCCAGGAAAAAATCAGGGCTTTGCATATGGAAGAAGTGTTGAACCGCTTGTTTCACTTCAGTATTGCTTCCAAAGCGCCTTCCCCAGAGATTTTTCTTCAATCTCCATGAAGATACCATGAAGATGGCAATGACTTTCTGTTTCGGATTGTGATGGGGGATGAAACATGGTCCACCATTTCACGCCAGAATCGAAGGCCCCATCTATGGAGTGGAAACATCCGTCATCACCTGTCCGAAAGAAGTTCAAGACAACTCCCTCTGCAGGTAAAGTGCTCCTCACAGTTTTCTGAGACACCCAAGGAGTTTTGTTGCTGGACGTTTTGGAGGTCGGAACCATCAATGCTACGCGCTACTGTGACACCCTGTCGAAATTGAAAGAGGCGATTCGGAAAAAGCGGCCTGGCCTTCTCACATCTGGCGTTCTGCTGTTGGATGACAATGCCAGACCACATTCGGCGACGGCAACACAAAACCATATTGCAACTCTTGGTTGGGAGCGCCTACACCATCCGCCATACAGTCTTTATCTCGCACCTAGTGACTTCCATCTGTTTCCGGCTTTGAAGAAAAGTCTCGGGGGAAGGCGCTTTGGAAGCAATACTGAAGTGAAACAAGCCGTTCAACGCTTCTTCCATATGCAAAGAATAATCTTCCATATGCAATTCTTCCTGATTTTTTCCTGGAGGACTTTTTGAAGCTTATCAAGCGATATGACAAATGTCTCAATGTACTTGGTACCTATGTGGAAAAATAAAGGTATGTCATATCTTTAATGTCTCATTCTATTTTTTGACTTTCATACACAACTCTGACTACAGTCGACAGGGGAAACTTATTTTTCAACTTACCCTCGTAGAAGAGGTATTCAATGCCACTTCATCAGGAGGAGGAACATTGAAATCTCTCTTTAGGCAAGACTATATTTTGGTTTTGTTTTTTAAAATGTTTTGTAATTATTATATATATACGTATATGCACACAAATAAAATAAAAATAATAATTTAAAAATTTCCCTTCCCAGTTACAAAGTCTATGAATTGAGAGCATAATACTTAGCAAAAGGAAGAACGTATGCCATAAATGGAATTTTTTTTCTCACTGAAATTATAGTTAAGTCACTTTCAAACACCTGCTGGTAAAGGAGTCCCACTATCATTAATGGCATTGCATTGATCGACGTGTTGATATTGGCCAGGATCATATTTTCGGCTCTTGAGTTGTTATGAAGGGATCTAAACAATAAAGGAAGCTTCAATGTTATGTCTACAAGTCAACAATGATATTTAAATTAATGATGTTTGAAGTTCTTATCAATTTGAAAAAAGAAAAGAAAAAAAATGTCAGTAACTTTTAATGATTTTTATAATTCAGATAACATCAAAAGGCCAGTGGCTGTCTAAAATACCCCAAAATTGTGTAAAATATTTACATGTTGTATTAAGATTCAAAGCTATTAAGGCACTTTTCAAATCGACAAGTTTCTCTTAAAGAAAATGTAAAGTGGTTAAAGGAGATCCCCATCATCTTTTTCTTGTAAAATTATTGGATACTAATATATAAACACAACTACTTGGGAGCAATTTGGTGATGTTTTACAAATGAAAAGGTGAAACTGATCAGCTATAAGTTGAAGTTTTCCCGACTTTAAAGTTTCCTAAACTATCAGTAGTTATTATAAGTCAGCAAACATTATCAGCATACAAAAGGAAAACATACTTTAGGAATTTAAAATACAGATCTTAATTACTAAATAAAAATTATATGATACATTAAAAAATAAAGCACTTGCATTATATGATACACTAAAAAATAAAACACATAGTTCTGTAATTTTTTGTGCTGTTCTTCCGAAACACAGCAATCTGTTTTCATTTAAAAAACATCAGAGAATTGGACAAGCTGAGCATTGTGCAAACATTGGCAACATTGGCCATCTACCAAATGCATCTTCTCATTATTCACTTTAGAGACATTGAGGCAAAATTCTGTACTCCTGTGGAAATTTTGTTGCAGATTCATTCATTGCTGGAAAATTCCACAAGCACATATTTTATACATTTATACATATTTCATATTTATTTATTATATTTTATACATATATAACTTATATATAATATATATAAGTTTTTTAACTTACTTATATATTATATATAAGTTAAAAAACAAAATATCATGATTTGTCTATAAACACTGTTGGAACTTTGAATACAACAGAAAGAATGAAATGGCAACAGTGCTTGACTATGAATTGCTATGAGCCGGGTTGCCTCAAGAAAATATATGGGCACATTTGGAAAATTTGGTGATTTTTATTAAGGAACCTGGAGGAAGGATACCTTTGTGCAGGACCTTCTAAGAGAAACTGGCTCATATTAATGTTTCACATGGGGAAAATCACCCATAGCCAGCCTGTTCACCTGGAATCAAATCCATGTCAAACTACTAGTGTCCTTCTGACATGGAGAAGGATATCTGTTGTTCAAACAATAGTAAAACCAGACTTTCGTTTTGGTACTTGATCATGCTGCTGTTTGCATTAAAATGGAAAAACGGTACGGTAGAACTCCAATTATCCGAATCAATTGGGACCGGACCCCATTCGGATAATTGGATTTTTTCTGAAAAAAGGGTCTATGTACACTTTAATTAATTACTGTATGTTGAAATGGAAGAAATTTGTTATTTTGGCTTTGTGTAGCCGTGATTTTTGTGCCAAAAATCGCCACTACACAAACCAAAACAACAAATCAAAGAATTGCACAAACTCTGTATCCATGTACCGCCAAAAATCACCAAGGGATACTCTAAAATATACTTTTACCGAATATATTATTCAATATCCAAGAATCCTAATGATTAATTTGGTGGTGTGAAAAATTCCTGGAAAAATACAAGAATGATACAGAATTCACCAACTGCTCATATCAAAAGTATGCAAAATATTTTTATTTATTTTTACATAAATGATAAATCAGTATCCTCTCATTGTGCGATATGGAATACCAGTGTTTTAGTGTGTCAACTTCAAATCTGTATCTCACTTTGTGTGCAACTGAACAGTCAAGAAAAATAATTACTATTATATATATCTAAAGCAAAAAATGTCATTGCAAATTAAAGTGGAAACTTCAGGCTTTAGGTATCACAGGTAACATGTGCCTGTGGATTCTGTACCGTAAATATGGTGAGCACGGCTTTTTTTTATTAGATAATTTTACATAAATTTCTATTTGAAATTAACATATTTTCAATATAGTCTAAATGTTATAAAATACACTAAGTTTTGATCATTAGTTCAAATTAGTCATGTCAGAAAAGATTTTACAAAGTGAAACTAAACTAGGTATTTATGTATTAGTGCAATCACTACATTAGAAGTCGCAAAATTTCAGAATACACTAAACTCTGACAATGATATAACAGTTCTTCAATTTTTACAAGCAACCTCATAATTTTTGTATGCATTCCAGGTTTCAAGGGTTTTTAAGAGACAAATCGCCATTTCTCCTTTTAAATCTCAACCTCAGTTTTAAATATGCTTGTGAGATTCAGCTGCAATAGAAGAAACTGGCATAAAATTCATGCCAGAATACAGTATTTTCCTGGAAAACTACTCAACTAAAGAAAACTCCAAACCCTATCCCGAATGGAGAAATACAAAGTTTCAAAATAGCATCTTATCTCATCATCTAAAAGGAACGACTGCTTGGAGCCTGTTCTTAAAACCATTACCAGAAAATTCAAACCAGTATAAAAAACAAATAAATCATGCTTTTTATGTAGGTATAATGCTTTAATTTCAGGATAAATGTGTATATTATACGAACTTGTATAATAAATAGCTTTTTTTCAATTATAAATCTTTTTTTTTTGTGTGTGTGTGCATCTGTAAAGAATTGCCAAAACAGTTGTGCTAATATGTAAGTATTCTAAACTATTCAGCCTAATTTGAGAATTTAAGCTTTTACTTGATCATTCAGAATTATCATTGTAAGCTTTCTGCATTTAAGACATATACAAGTACACATTTTTTAATTTATTAAATAATCTTGAAAGTAAAACAGACACTGATTTTTAAGCTATTCAATTAGTTACTCTAGATAAGTGGCTTTCATACTTTGTTCCGTTGGTTAAAATAAAAATTATAAAACACTCACACTAATTGACTAATGTTTATTAATACCGTATGTACGTGTTTATATATATATATCACAGAATGACAGCAATTATTCATTAAACGAAGTAACAAAATAAATTTCTGGTCATTACATGTCTTCAAAAAAGAAAAGAAAAACACAAAGGTAAACAATATTTCTGGATTGGAATGCTCAGTTATCATAAAAAATGCCTCTGGGCAGCTAGTCTAATACTTCAACTTTTTCAAAAAAGTTGTATATTTTAACTTGTTTCGTTTCCGAAAAATTAAATAGAAAATTTTAGCTTTCCGAAACTCATATTTGATTTAGATTCCTTGCATAAAAATCTATGAACAAAGCACAGTACCTAATTTTGCAATAATATATCGAACAGTAAAATCGTTTTAATAAAATACACACCTTTTGTTAGATATGTGCAAAGGAAGAGCATAGACAAGGAGATACAAATTAAAATAACTCTTTGCACGTTGGTCTCGAATTTTGTGATTCGAACGTTATATGACTGACATTTATGTGGATAAAAATGAATCTGAATGAAGCGCGCCGAAATAAATCCCTTTAATTCTCTAAAGCTGTATGTATAGTATGGTCAGGTTCTTCCTTCACAATAGGAAATGACGTTTTACGAGCCAGTAAGAGTGGGGAATTCTGGGATAGATGGTTGAATGTTATGCATGTTGATCTTTGCTAAAATGTACGAGTGTGTTTAAATTTATGGTATGTATTGCAGCATTTGGAGTCTGCATTCGTAATTTCATGTCGAAGCTACAAATTGAATTTGCGTGAAGGTGTAATTGAAGTGATGACATCCCCAGCTGAAAAACTCAAGCAACTTGAAACTCTAGAAAAAGATCTGGCTGCTGCTCTGCATGCTGCTAGTAATAAAAAATTTGTGTTTTTTCTCATCAGTTCATAGTTGAATTGCTTTCTTCTCTTTATTTTAACTTTCTGCATATAATTGTTCGCGTGCTTATTAGGTACTAAAGACTTAGTATCGTAAAATTTCTTCCCGTCTGTAATAACATATGAATAAGAATTATTCGTAAAAAGGTTGCTTATTGATGTAGATGGGCAAATTATTTTAATATGTGCTATCGAACAGTCAAAAACGTTGGAGTATGATATTGTAGTATTATGGTAGTCATAAACTTTTTATGATATGAAATATATAATGATGTGATAACTGTTATTACAGTTCTGTGTGTCTTTGTTACTATAGTATTACCTAACCTTAATAACGTACCTAGTAAATTAGTACCTAACGTACCTAGCTTATTTTTATTAGTTCCTTAACAAAGAGATTTTAAATTTGAAAATAATTTTACGTTTGAAATTAATCATAAAAGTTAATGTAGACTGTTAAATATAAAACTTCAGTATACCATAAAGAAGTATGTTATTGTTCATATTCAGCAGAAAAGACATAGTGTTGTATTTTCAAAATTAGAAATTAATGATCTATTCTTTTTAGTCTTCCTGAATACTGTCATAGTTTTAATTTTGTGTATTCTCTACCTAATAAAAGTTCTTTTAATAATAATACACATTATTGAGTAATTATTAAAATTTAATTTCATATAATACTGATGAATTTTCAGTATATTATTAATAGCATTCACAGATATAATAAGCTGGCATATGGTCTAAATCAGATATAATTATAAAGAGTAATATGGGTAAAATCCTAGTATACGGTGCAACCTTGGCACGATTTTGAAAATTATCGCCAACACCAAAAATGACCTAAAGAATGTCTATGTATATATTATACACTATATACTATATACTATCATTATATACATAGTATATACTATGTATAACTATATATATTCTTTGAATGACCCATTTACTTCTCGTCATATATGTCCCGTTTTTACTGCTCATCATAAAAGTCATTAAAAGTAGCCAAATCCCATGTGCACCGGATACTAGGATTAAACCGTAATATGTACTGTACAATAATATGCTGGAAAATTATTTATTTAAAAAAATTATGTGGGGATTGCTTGGTTTTCAGTTGATTGTTAAAGGGCACCAGTATGGTTTGTTATAAAATTCCTGTGACAGAATATTCATTGATAAGCTATATTTAAATACTGTAATGGAACTCTGGAAGGTAATTTAATTATCACTTATGTATACATGAAATATGCAGTGGACTAGGAGGAAAGAGCACCCAGACCTGGCTTGCTGAAGGCAGCCTTACACTGTTAATTACCCTAATACCTAGAGGCTGTCCGAGGAGACGAAAACCCTGCTGATCAACCTAGGGCAGTGGTGACGAACCTTTTTGTGACCGTATGCCCAAAATGGAATGGCCACGTGTCATTCCGTTTAAGATATTAAATTAGAATTATTCATACATTACCCGCAAAATGCTTAGATCTTAACAACTGGAATCTATGTAACAATGAAAGGATTGAAACTCACTGGTAGTCAGCAATAAATTTGAATTTGTTTAGCAAACAGCTTCTTTGCCATGTAACAAGTAATATATTGCCTCAAATAATTGAAGCATCATAAGTTGGGTCAATAAATATGTATATCATTTCTATGGTGATATATGAAAATCTTATATCTAGGCTTGGTTAATCTTCGGATTATGGTAACTTGGCGATTTTTTGGCGAAAATTTGGCGACCAACCCTGCTACAGCAACCTGCTAGTTTTTTTTTTTGGGATGTCATTTGTGTTTCACGAAGTAAAGGCATGTTTTTTTTTTACTCAACATTTTTTTCCAACAATCTGCTAGCCGAATTACGCTTATGCTAGAACTTTTATGGAACAAATGTGCTTAATCATGACAAAGATTACGTGTGAAATTGGGAGAAAGTGCAGAATCGCCAACTGCTTGCCACGCTTTTAAGAATTGCACATACCACGTCAACCTATTTTCACTTAAAAAGCATCCCATAATTGCACAAAAATGGCATTGCGCACAATGTTGACTTTATCCATGTACACTGCTAAAGTCCTAGTTAGTAACCTTTATCTTCTTACCTAAATGTCGCCAAACTACCTGTTACCATATTTCAAAGATTAGCCCCTATCTTAAACCTATGCCGTAGCTTATCCGATAAGTGAAACATTCAAGAAACTAACATATTAATACATCGTATATTTTATTGTGATTATTGATTAAAGAAGTAATATTTTAGTCTCATGCCAGCTGATAAGGCTCTGTGTTTTGACTAGGGCTCACGTCCCATAGGTTCGCCGCCACCACTGACCTAGGGGAACAATTTTTGTTTCACAAAGTCTAGGTTTGAATCGCAAGACAGTGGTGGACGGCTACACATCCTCCAAAAAAGCATTAAGTTTGACATTGACTGTTCCCTAGTGTTGATAAAGGGCAGCCAAACCCCCCTAAGGACAACCTTCGATATCAAACTATGTAACGCCCCCACAACCAAGGGGCAGGCATGACAGTACCAGTGCTGTCCCTGCCTAGCCTGAACCTACCATCGAATAAACAATGGCTCTAGCTCTGTGAAGACACTTTATTTATCCCAGTAGTCGAGGCTGTCTAGATATTGATCTAGTCAGTATGCTAGAAATGGTCAGTTCCAGTTGATCCTCAGAAATGGTCATTCGAACATAGTTAGCCCAGGCAAACCTGGTTATCAGCGGGGCTGTGAGGAGGCTTATGTCGGATTAGGATAGCAGAGGCTAACCTGTAGCTATACCCACTCACAAAATGTCCAGATCAGACCCCTGGTCTCCTCCCATAAAACGGTCGGTTTCAGAAATCCAATCCTTCCCAACCTCGAGGGAGCACAACTACCCATGCCACATGAAATATGCAGTGGTAGCTATTGTTATGATATTATAAGTTATTTATTATAACGTGACTAATAATTTTTCCAGTAATCATGATTTCAGAGGTATGTTTTATGATCAGAGTAAATGCCAAAGATTTTTTTATTTATGACAAGGTCATACATACATAAAGAAGCAGAAAACAGTGCACTATCCAGATTAGAATAATGTACAGTTCTGTGATTTAAGAAGTCTACTTTTCTGCATGGTGACAATAGGCAGAGTTTTACATTTTTCAATGTTATTATATAAATTATATGACTTCAATTCTATTGTGTTAAAACTTTTTGGTTGATCTTTACATTATGGTAACTTGGCGTCTTTTTTGGCGAAAATTTGGCGACCAACTCTCCTCCCAGCAACCCTCTATTTTTTTTTTTCCCGCCGCCATTTTGTCTTCACGAAGTAAAGACATGTTTCTTTTTTTTATCTACTGAACACTTCTTCCAACAATCTACTAGCCGAATTACACTTATGCTAGAAATTTTATCTAACAAAACTGCTTAATCATGACAAATATTCACTGCAAAATTGGGAAAAAGTGCACAATACCATACTCCTTACGCGTTTTTCAAAATAACACATACACATAACCATAAACCATGTAAACCGCCGACTTATTTTTACTTAAAAAAACATCCCAGAATTGCACAAAAATGGCATTGGCACACTCTTCACTATATCCATGTACACTGCTTTTTCTCATAAATTAGAAAAATTTCACGAAAATACATGACAATTTTCTCAATCTTTAAAAACCGGTAAAAGAACATATATGAAATTACTGATGCGCGAAAAAGTATTTTACCCCTTTCCAAATATGAACATTCCACATATAAAATAAATAAAAATCCAAACTTTTACCTCTAAATCATCTATTATATTATACACGTCACCAACGAATTCATACCGCAAGCATTACAAATACTTAGTCAAATATTTAAATTATTTCCATGCAGTTTACTTCAACGAAACGTGTACCAAATTCCTACCATTAATTCACAAAATACCTATCATTTAATTAATCACTAAACCCCCCCTGACTTATTTTTCTTATCTCCAGAATTGCACAAAATGGCATTGCGACACTCTTTATATCCATGTACCTGCTTTTTTCTCAAATTAGAAAAAATTCACGAAATACATGACATTTTCTCAATCTTTAACCCGGTAAAAAGAACATATATGAAATTACCTGATCGTGAAAAAAGTAAATGAACATTTCCACGATAAAATAAATAAAATATCCAAAAACTTTAACCTCTAAATCATCTATTACATTATACACGTCACCAACGAATTCATACCAACATTACAATACTTAGTGTCAGATATTTAACTTTTTCCCTGCATTTTACTCCTAAACGTATACCAAATTCCTACAACAAAAATTCACAAAATAACTATCATTAATAAAATCTAATTAAATTCCCCACCACTACTTCTGAGCACATCTTCCATTCCTACTCGATAATACCCATTCGAATTCACTTTTACGGCCATGGGATCCAAAATTCACAACATGTTCACACACAAGACAGAAAGCCAAATACAAAATTTCCAGATTTTCTTGATTTCCCCCCTTTCCGATTAGAACCGTAATTCGTCCATTAATATCACTGACATATCCCATGATCTCTCATTTCCCTAACACAAAAAATGCGTAATCGGAACTGAGTACTGCTCACATTATTACCAAAGCCAGGTAGTAACCTTTATCGCCTCCAAAAGTGGCCAAACTACCAGTTACCATATTGTAAAGATCAACCCTTCTTTTTTTTTAAATGGCCACTGCACATAATCACAAAAGATGGCTGACGAAATCACCCTGTTTATAATGTAAAAAACCTCAAGTGTTGTCAAAGGTTTATGCAGTGGCTACTTTAACAGGAAAGTACCTTATAGGATGTCCTAATATGAGTCCACACATCTCAAAATTATATGCAGTTGCTATTTCCTAAGCAAGCAATTTTGGTTGCAATTAATTTTTCCAGTATTATTTTCAGTAAAATTGTTTATAATCTTATTTAGAACTTTTTTATAGTATGATGAAATATTTTTAGTGCTAGTCATAATTAAAGTTAAAAATTCTATTTTCTATTTAAGGAGCAGTAGTGCTCATTAAGTGTTAATGTTAGCAAAAGTATAATTTATATAATATTATTGCAACTCTAAAAATACATTGAAGAAACATCGCTGCTCAGAAATGTAATTGGGATTATTTTATTATGTCAGGACTTTTTTTTTTAGAACTAAATGATAGATTTGTTGCCAATCTAGAGAAACTAAATTTCATAACAATAAAGAGGGTTACCAGATGTTGCATATGCTGTGCTGAGTCATTGCATGGAATAATTTAGTAACTTAAATGATGATTCCGGAATGAATTGAGCATAATTTAATTCACAATAATAAACAAAAAAGTATCAAATCGGATTCTTTTCTGTTTACATTTCTTGTTGCCAATCGAGAGAAACTAAACTTCACCACAATCAAGATGATAATATATATAGAGAGAGCTGTTACAAATTCTTCGTTTGGTAAATATCAAATCATAAAGTCTCTTGTTTTAGCATGAAAAATGTCGCCTAATCTTTAGAATATGGTAACAAGTAGTTTGGCGACATTTTGGTAAGGCGATAAAGATTACTAGCTGGGACCTTACCAGTGTACATGGATGAAGTCAAGAGTGTGCGCAATGCCATTTTTGTGCAGTTCTGGGATGTTTTTTTAAGTGAAAATAGGTCGATGTGTACATGGATACGGTGTTGTATGTGCAAATCTTAAAAACGTGGCAAGCAGTGGGCAATTCTGCACTTTCTGCCAATTTCGCACCTAATATTCGTCATGATTAAGCACATTTGTTCCATAAAAGTTCTAGCATAAGTAATTCGGCTAGCAGATTGTTGGAAAAAAATGTTGAGTAAAAAACAAAAAAAAAAGTTTACTTCATGAAAACCAAATGGCGTTGAAAAAAAAAACTAGCAGGTTGCTGTAGCAGGGTTGGTCGCCAAAAAATCGCCAAGTTACCAGAATCTGAAGATTAACCAAAATGCCTTTAGGTTAAAACATGTTCAAATGTTTGTTTGGTGCAGTTTACAGTATAAGTTGCTATCTTTATCTTGTTTGCACACATTTTAGCTGTGGCAGCATTTACAGAAAATTACCAAAATTCTATTTATTGCAGTCTTACCAGATTGTGTCAATCTTCAGTTATAGGTACAAATTTACCACCATTAAGTAAGATATTTATTTAGCGACAATTATACAAATATCGGTAGGATATGGGAATTTGTAAAGGAACCTGTTGTCTGTAATTCCCAAATAGCACCAAAGATGAACACATTTTACTACAGTCAAAAGTCGTTAATTCGGACACCCATAATTCGGAATGATCTATAATCCGGACCTCAAAACTGAAAACTTTCTGCACATGCGCCGCGTTGACATATGCGCATAGGCATTTACGCGAGCGCGTAAGACCTTTTACAACTGCGCATATGAGTGTGCGCAAGTGCAGAATACATTTTTGAGTGCGCATTTTATGTATAATGGACGTATAAGCTAAATTATCTAATATCTCTTCAGTTAATGTTGATGATGTGTGTTCCTTAATTGAATGGATCCGGCTTTATTTTTTTTGCAGACTGTAAGAGCAATTTTATAAAAGTAAGCTTAAACTTCGATTTATGAAAAAGAATTTCCGATATATATTTGTCATATGTAAAGGATCTAAAGCGAGTATGTTTTGAAATCCGAAATCTGTTTATTAATTTCACGCTGTGGCGGGGGGAACACCGCTAATGAATTGGAAGTGATCTGTCAGCACTATCCTTATCTTCAGGGCAGTGTTTTTTTTATTTTATTTGGCTATAATTCCTTACCCAATGTAGTATTTCTCTCGATGTGCTCCGTCTTTGATATGACTTAAACTAGTTCCTCGTCATTATAATCGCTTCCGATCGGAAGAAAAGTACAGAGGTTATTGAAAACGAAAAAAATTTGATTGACAATTAGTCGGTGTTCTCGCCAGAATTATACGATGAACGCGGAACTTTGTAACTGAAAAGAAATTATGTTGTTTATAAATTAAAGAGAAAGTATTATCCATGAAACGAAGCAAAACTTACACCGTACAATAAAGAATGTTTATTTAAGTAACAAATAAGTATTAAGCTTTTTTTTTTTTGCAATTTTTGATACCCTTTATCGTAATGTTCTTATTTCATAAATTACGGTTATATTTTTATTTTAGAATTTGCACCATCTTACGAGATTTAAACTGATGATTTAATCCGGAAAAATCGATAATCCGGAATCGCCGAAGTCCCGACGAGGCCGGATTAACGACTTTTGACTGTATTAACATTTGAGAGACTGTACAGATTTCCATGATTGCAAATTTTCAGTCTTTTACTGTATTGTTAAAAATATTAATTATAAAACAGAAAATTCATTATGAAAATGCATCATTTTTTTATATATTTCTTATTTTGTGTTGTATTCTAATTTTTTTTAGGTCAAGCAATTCTTGAACTAAGCAAGGAGAAACCAAGTGTAAAGCAAGCTGAAACATTCAGTTCTACTTTTCTAAAAACATTAGAAAATGTTGAAAGTGGATTATCAAAGCATATAACTTATCTTACTCAAGTATCCACTGGTACAACTTTTAGTTATTAAATTTTGGTACTTGGTTATTATCGCAACCACCTTTGTGCAAAGTGACAATGTTTTTTTAAAAAGAAAAAGAATGGTAATTTCAAATCAGAGAAAGTTATTTATTTTACGTCATACACGTTATTAGGTACATATTTTAAATGTATTTTGAAATTTATACTGGAAAACAATTTATAAAACTACTTACAAATCGGTTTTTGTTTCTTCTTCAGTTTTTGTTCTGCTTATCTCCCGCAGTCTTACTAGCCATTTCTAACTCTTTGAAGCAAATTTAACACTCATTAATTCCCTACTGCAGCAGTATATACATCTGATTACTGTACTAAATGGCAGATGGCTATTCGCAAACCAATCACTACTTCGCATGCCAGTATGTTCTTTACACTTTTTCATGTTGCATTTCCAAAATACAGCATCATCAAATGCGAATTTCAACATTTATTTTGCCTTTGTGGCAAAATGGCACATTTATGCAAAAATTTCACAGGAATTTCTTTGTTTGCAGGCGAATCTCACAAGCACTTATTTCAAAATTCAGCTGAAGACAAAAAATATTGCAATTTGCCTTTACAGCTTGTAATACAACCAAAATAGTGTGTACAAAAATGGTGACATTGCTTATTCAAATTTACATTAATCAATGCAGTTACCAGAAGAATTGTTATGCACATGGTTGCCTCAGTTTGGTGACTTCTACCGAGGAGTTTGCGATAATACCAAAGTACGTAATGTTTTCATAATATACTTTAAGCATCTGAAAATGAATACAACCGTCTGAAATTTTTGAATTAATCTTGTATTATGTTTATTAGTTCTGTTTTATTTTTAATTGATTTCATGTTTTACTATTATGTTTAATGAAATTTATTCTGAAATAAGTTGTAACAAGAAATTTGAACAAAACTATTTTTTATTGATAATAAGGCACAAAATTAAATGCACTGAACATAGATACTACTTTGTGGTATCTTTATTTATTTAAATTTCCTAGGGTACATGGCCTTGAGTGCTTAGATTAGCCTTACCTAAAGTGACCACATTTTCATTGAGACAAAGTGGGACAAATGGAATGAAATGAGAATTATAATTTAGTAATGAAAGCGCCATATTCAAAAAAAATTTTTTGCATTCATATACTTGTCTATAATTAGACAAAAATATATTTATATAATATTGGCACTATAAAAATATTTGTAAAAACATAATTCGAATATTATGTTTTTATTTATTTAATATTTTAGTTAAAAAAATATCTTCTTTCATGGTTATATTTTTTATCCAAGTGAATACTTGCATAGATTCAAATCATTTAAATGTGTAAATTTCTCACATGAATTAATCAAATTATATTTTACCCTTAATACATATTTTAAAGTTCTTAATGCTTCAACTGTGTTTTTTCAATTGTCCATAATTTTATTGATACTAGGAAAAAAACACGTTCTGCTGCTGCATTTGTTCCTGTAAAGGGAGAATGCGCAAGTTCTACAATTTTCAAAATATTTTCATAAAGGAATATTATTTTGTTAAAAAATGGAGGAATAACTCCGTGCATTTTTGTCTCTTTCTACATTTTCAGACAACCAACATTTAATTTTTTCTTCAGTAACATATTTTTTTACTAATGACACCTTATCAAAAATCAAAAAGATCATTTCGCAAATATTATTTTTCAGAAAATGGTTACTAATATATTAAAAAGATTTTTCCACATATTTCCATAAAATCTCCTTTTTTAATGTCACCCAATGAAAGATTTTAATATCCTCAAATTGAACTCTCCATTCTTCAAGATATTCCAAGCAGTTATTATAAAAATTTGACTTCTTTCAGAAAATCATGTGGTTTAATATGGCATCTTGTTCTTCCAACCTGTGATGTCCTTTCGGATAACTAAAGGAATATAATTATCAATTCTTTCTCGCAATTTTGTTTTTAAGTTATTGATTTCATTTAACACTTCCATTATTGAAATTTTGTCCCCTTCGATAATTTTCACAGCATTGTGAAATAATATAGCTTTGTTGTGGATGAACTGAAGATAAATTTGTGATGTTTCATTTTCAAAAAACAGCTGCAATATTTTTGGACATTTATCTTGTGATAAAAAGTATTATTTTAATGGTTCGTATATTTTAAAAATATTTTCTACAGCTGGTAAAAGAGCTATCCATCGTGTTTTGTTGTAACCAATAATTCTTTTATATTCAATTTCTCTGCTTTCACAAAAATCCTTCAACCTTTCGATATGCAGAATATATATATATAAATACGAATAAATTTTTGCAATAATATTTTCACATCATGGAAGTAAGTCAGATGCTGTTGAATATTATTGTGTAGAAAGTGCTGCAACCCTACTCGAATAATTTTGGTTCAATGTTAGTTAAGTTTCGTAAAAAAGTGTTATTGATGCCTCTTCTACTTTTCCACCAAAATTTGCGTTAGTGTTATTATTGTTCAGTAATTCTAAATAGTACTTAATTGAATAAAAATTATTTATGAAGTTCACCAGCAGCCGCCGAGCTGGTATAGTGGTAGGACTCTGTGATACCGAAGGCCTGGGTTCGAATCCCGGAGAAGGCATGGTAGTAACTGTCCGTCCCTTCGTAGGATGCAATGGTGGCCCACCTGTTAGGAGCCTCCATAATAAAGAGACCACCACGTTCTGGCCTTAGTATAGATTAATGGACGCTGTTACAAAACTGTAACTGTTAACAGTCTGCCATCGAGAAAAAAAAAAATAAATAAATAAAAATAAAGTTTAACCCGGCAATGAAACAAAATCTAACATTCTAATTTTAATTTCTGTCTATGGATCAAAAAGTCTAACAATTGTGTAAAATAATTTTAAATCTTTGTGGTTGAAAGCATCATAATATAGGGACATAAATGTGCATTTATCTAATTCGAATATGGTAAATGAAAACGAATATGGTAAAAAACATTACAAATGATTGTTTCGGTTTTTGTCCTTGCACGTGCAAATTTTTTTGTCGTACAATGTTTTGATCATTTTCGATGTACAATCAACTGATCTGAAACTTTGATTGTGGTTTATGGTGTGGAAAGCAAATAGCCCTTCAGCTAATGCTAGCTGTTCCTCTGTTAACAATACATAATCCTAAACGAGACGTAGCAACAATGATCGAACACCACCGAGTAAATCTAACTCATTACATCGCCTAATTTATTTTTTATTTCTTTGCATTCACTTTAATAAATAATAGGTAATATATTTTTACAGTACATTAAAAAAAAGAAATGCAGATGTTTTCTAAAAATGGCGGTACAGAGGACAGACAGTCCTCCAAAAAGCGGGACTGTCATGCCAAAATCGGGACGTGTGGTCCCTTTAGCCTTACCTCAATAAAAATTGATATAGTATATACATGGGAGAGGAAAGGGTTCTAATGTAGAATTGTGTGCCACTTTGATTGGTGACAAATTTCATTCAGTTTTGGTAAGAAACCCGATTTCTGGTTACCATGATAGTTTTAACTGGTTTTATTAGCGTCCTGATTTTTTTTAGTGAAAGTAGATCGATGTGTACAGGGACAAAGTCAAGGCAGTGCGCAATGCCGAGATTGTGCAAATCTCTGATATTTTTTGTAAGTGAAAATCGATCGGTGTGTACATGGACGGCGAGTTTGTGCAGTTCTTAGACTTCGTATTTTGGTTTTGTATAGTGGCCATCTTGAAACTGTGTCTTTCTGGCGCGGATCTTGGCATCAAAAAAGAATTATGAAAAAAACAAGGGGCAACCAATTGTAAATTTTTACGGAGGTAAGGATGTATGAACTCGAAAAGGGAAAATTTAAAGTAGAGTAAAAGCCCAATTATCTGACATAGTAAAAAAAAGAAAAAAAAAAAATAAAGACAAGAGGCTGATAAAGGCATAATGAAGTGCATATAAGGCTGCAACTTAGGGGTAGGAACAAAGATTTTCTTTAGCTAGTGTGATTTAGTGAAGTAAGGCAGTAAAGTTTAAACATATCACACTGTATTTGTAAGGTCTTTGCTTTCGTTTTATGTAAAATTGAAATTCTTGATAAGCTGCTTTAGTTTTTGTGAAGAAGGATGTAGGTTAAGTGCCATTAATCTATTTTTCCCACATTTTAAAAAATTTTTTTTAAATTTGGGGCCTTTCCTAAACAGAATAGCGTGCAGCGGAGTATTTGCAAAATTGTAGGTCAAGAAAAATGTGCAAGATAAGCTATGAAATCAGATAAATAATGGTGATGCAATATTAAAAATTATCACTAGATTTTTTTTATATGCTATATCCATTATTTCTTTCTCTTTCTTGATTATCTAACTAAATAAAGAGCGATTGCTTCTTTCAAACGTCTGTTGGAATGATTGGCGGGATATTCTTCAACTTTCATGGTTAACCTGATTTCATGTTGGATTAGATGTTTTACTTTCAATGGTTTAAGGCCTATGAAAAAATATGTGTACTTTTGTATCTGAAATACATTTATATTTTTGAAATCTTAACATTATATTAAATTTAAGCTAACAAATAAGATGACCATTTTCATAACTTTTAAGTGCAAATTTTTTCTTTCATTTATTTACCTTTTCTAATATGAATTGTTTTTTTTTTATATACTCAACTATCCAGAATTTTCACTTATCTGGTGTCTCACATTTTCTAGATAGTCAAGCTTTCATTATATTGATTTATTTAGACGCGATGTGGACAAAGTGTAGGAAATAATCATTCAACACGAGTCTCAAGAGAGAAACTCCTTTGGGAAGTCATTTTTTATACCTTTTATACCATTCATCCTGCTGGATCCTGGTTTGAGTTCTAAAGAAGACATGGGTGTTTGTAAATGTTTCGTGTCTTTGTAAAATGGGGGCCACTTAAGGAACCCCCCCCAGTGATTATGAACAACATTCTTAATGAAGAGATAGCCAAATGGCTGATGAGTTCAGCCATAATTTCCAGTGAATGCTTAACCAAGTATCTGCCTGTTTTGGGGGAGGGGGCTATTCCACATATTGCTGTAGTAGAGCAGGCGAACTGTAATACTGATGATATTTTTAGCTAAAATTTCTTGAAGTATGTGGGTATGTCTCTTGTATAAGATTTGACTGTATGTAAATTGCCTTTCCCCCTTCGTAGGTATAATATTTACTGTCCCTTGTAGTTCGTCCTGAGCAATCCCTTCATTGATTATGTAAATGAGCAATAAATTTGGCCTTTTGCAGCAGATGCTTAAGAAGCTAGTGTTCAGCAGTTTAAAAGTTAAGAAACAGCATGTTTTTTTTCCCTCTAATTTGAGAACAAAGCAAGATAAAAAAACAAGAAATTTAGAGGATGTGTTCACTAAACAGTTCGCACAACGTATGTCCTCGGGTCAAAGAGACACAAAAAGTTGGTCGTCTTGCTTACAGACCTGTATTTTGCTGGCTTCTGCTCACTGTAGTAGTTGAGATTTTTGTTTCTTTTGTCACTAAATGATCTGCCATGAGCTTGAGGCACTGTAATGTTGCTTCTCCTTCAGGCCAGAATAGGCAAATAATGGTCTTCCGTAGGTGTCATAACTCTTCTGCTTGGAGCGTGCCTTCTAGATACAGAATCCTAGGATTCAAACTGATTCCATAATCGGTGGACCACACTATGTGAGACATTGAAATGTCTAGTAGCATCAGCTTGTGACATCCCCATTTCTATCCATCTGATCGTCTGTCACTTCAACAAATCGGGCAAACAACTTTTCCTGGACATTGATTAACTCTCCTGGATATTGTCAACAGAACTGCTAATAACAATTTGATTAACTCTCCTGGATATTGTCAACAGAACTGCTAATAACAATTGAAGATCAACACTTGTGAGCAAAACTCGCAATTTTTACATTTTATTTCTCTATATGAGTATTCATTTCTATAAAATAAAAGTGGTAGCTATTGTTTTTGCTTATATTTTCGTAAACGTCATTACGATTATAAACTCTGAATTTAAGCATTACTGATATTTTTGTAATGGTGAGCTTTGAAAACATGTTGTTTCTTAACTTTTCGAAGGCAGTGTACTTTTGTTACTTATAGCTTGAAGAGTGTTCTGATGAATTAGGTGAGTGATATAATATATAAATTGAAATCTTTTGTATACGTTTTTAAGATCAATATTTAAGGAACCAAAACCTGTAGCAACCTTTTTTTGCAGAGTGTGTACAAAGGACAATCGAAAAGTGAGTAAGCACTAAAACAAATTGTATTTCTTGAATTTGCAATGTATGGTGGTTAGCAGATTGGTGGCAGATTTCTTTGCTTCTAATGAAGAGGGACTTTGCTTGGTGCGTCCTCGATATCGATACAGTTTCTTTGCTAAAAATCTACGAATAACTGAGGTTGTTGCTTCACTTTTATGGTTAACATAGTCAATACATAAATGTATAAAATGATAAATTTTTAAAACAGTGTTATATATATATATATTAAATCAGAAATATGTTCAGCAAAAAGTACTGTACCGAGAATTACTTCTTGAAGTATCATCTGTATTAATATTCAGCCTGCAATCATTATTTAAAGCACTTTTTACCATTACTTAAGATGCAAAATGATTAATTTTTATATTTTTCGAATTTGTATGTGATTATGGGATTTTATGGGAAGAAGAATAAATGATTTTAATCAGAAGATCAAATCACTGAGAGAAAATGCTGATTTCAGAAAAAGTATAAATTTTTAATATGATTATTACTCTGTATTGTGCACTGTACTAAGAAGAATGATGTTATGAAGTAAAATCTTTATTAATATTCAGCATGCATAGGTAATGACAAAAAGTGCTTTACGTAATTAGTACTTTTTGTCATCACTTACGGCACAAAATAACTATAATTTTCAAATTTATATGTGATTATGATAAGTTCTAATGAATGATTTTAATCAGAAGATCAAAATTAAGCAAAAGAACATTTAATTAATGATTTCAGAAAAAGGCCTTATATTTATCAATATGATTATTCTGTATTATGGGTTGATTGCAAAATCAGCATTAGTATGTTAAATGTTCACTTTCTTTTAGTATTTTTATCTTTCGCTCTTCTTTTTTTATTTTTATACAGTGGATATTGACAAAATATATTTATAAAAATAATTAAAATTTAGTTTTTCATGTTAAAATTGAAAAAATAACTGTACTCTTATTTTATTATTTCACTGTGCACTATAAAAACGTTACATTAAAAGTTATGCAATTCTCTTTCCAAAAGGGCAAGCCCATGAAGGATCTAGCTATGCAAGTCAGAAAATGATGCAGATGGCATGGCATAGACTAAAGCATTCACAATCAAGATTAAATGAACTGGAGAGATTAAAAAACCAGCATTCGCAGCAAGGAAATAGGCAAAGCCATATGAAGCAGTCACCACCAACATAACTTTTGATATTGGCCACATTCAATAAATATTTGTATTGCATTTTGGATAGTTTTAATGTGATATATTTTTAATAAATTGGATTAAAACGTATTTTTCAGAGGAAGTTTGTATAAAAGTGGATTAAACTCTTACAATATTTATGGCAGATTCTTCATTATGTATCACATTTAAATAATATTTTTGTAAAAAAGTCATTAATTTGAATATTTTAAAAATGCATTTTGACTATCAAGCATTAGGTGTACTTATTTTTTAAAACCTAAATTCTTTTAAGAGATAGTTACTTTCATTAAAGATTTTGAGTACCTTTTTACTTATGACATTACATACATTCCTCTTATTTCTATACTTCTAAATCTGTCTAGTAAATTAAATTAAAAAAACAAAAATTTTACTTGTAGTCGTACTTTAGAATACAGCATAAAGTCTGAGATACAGAATCGTCGGAATTCCGGCAATTCAGGATTTTAGATCATGACTTTAAACTTAATACATTGGAATGTAAACATGGCAACATTGGGACTTATTGTTTAGGTCAGATAGAAAAACAACTCACTCCCATCCCCACAGGGACCAGAGCTGGTACAAATGGTGTCACTGCAGCCAAGTGTCTGGATTTACGAAGAGCAAAAATTCAAGTATTTAGAAGAGCATCAAGTAGATAAAAGAAGGTCTTGTTCATGGGCTTTTATAGAATTGCCCTAGAGTGGCAGAGTAACTCATAGCATTATTTGCAAAATTTAAAAATAGTTCTATTCCAATGAATAAAATTGCACGAGAACATTTATTTATTTTTAGCATTTGGAAACAAATTACTTCAGTGAAAATTCTTTTTGGCATGTCAAACAGAATTTTTTTAATAACTGTAATCACAATTGCTTATCTAGGATTAACTGTTAAGAAAATAAAACTTACAGATGCCATTGCTGTTGAATTATAAGTTAGTGGCTAGATAATTAAAGGAAATTTATAGTCTGTGTCTTCAATATAAAAAAGCACTTTATGAAGAAATTTCAGTTGCTAGCTCTGGAACATCAATATCCATATTATTGAGATTTACAATAGTCTTTTCTATGTTCTATCAAGGAAATTACATTTGCAGCTATACAAGGTAACAACAAAACTTGCATAAGTGCTAATTTGGAAGCACCATGTAGCATTAGGAAAGCTTCAAAAATGCTAATGGCAATTAAAATACATAAATGGATTTTATGATATACTATAATACAAATTCTCAGCTGTTATACCATTTGATAGAAAAATGGATACATTTTTAAAATTTCTGTTTTACTTGATGAGTGATGGCAATCAACAAGTAGCTATAATGATGAGCTACACCACCACTTCAGATGACTAAGTCGATGTTGTGGGGTTAAAGTCAAATGTCTTAAAGGCTGCTGGCAAGCACAACCCGACCTCAGCCAAGTGCCATAAGATGTCAGACTGTTGCTTGGTATGACCAGCCTGCATCATGCATCCCTACTATGTGACCATGTTTGAAATCATTCAATTGTCTATAAAGTCTTTTACAATGTCATAATTGGTTTTGTCTCCAGGGAACTGTAACACCAACAATAGGAAAAGATAAAATTCTGCAATTGTTAACTGTTTCATATGATGCTAGTTGCAAAGTAGAGACATGTGTTATGACCAAAGTTAACCCTAATTGGCCTCGAAAATTTAATTATTCGCATACATAATTGGATTATTTTTTAAGAGTATTTCGTACTTTTGGCAGAAGAGTGTATCACTGCAGAACGAGCTTTATGTATATATTATATTATCACATTATCGAACTCAAAGCCATCTGTATGTTTTTATACTAACTGAAATAATGTGCAAGATGTTTTAATTTATTGCTTCTGCTTCACTGCAGACATCTGCTTTTGATCTTGAAGTTAAAAGTAAAAATGTTTTCAATAAACTAAGTTGTCCAAGGTCAGTTTTACCCCAACAGAAAGTAAAATGGGAACTTGCAGAGTATCTGATTGATTCAAATACACATTTCTAAAGTGCTATCATTTTTAAGTTAAATCTCTTATCAGATCAAGATTTCATCTAACATAAATGCAGAATTAGCATTAATACATGCATTATAATCCAGATCAAAGTAATTTGTATTTTTATCTATAAATAAAAAAGTATGGGATTTTATACTTCAAGCTAACCCTCTTCTCATCACTATCATATTTCCATTGCCCTTGTAAATTTATAATAGACTTAAGAAATCTCCTTTGTTTTTTGTCATATAGTGGTCACCATGTACAGCAAGGAGATTGGAGATAGCTTCTATTCAAGATGACTGTTGATTTTGCAAGATTTCCAGATATGGGGAGGGATAGAAAATCTTCAGTGGTGCTTAAATTAAGATATGATGTATGTCATGAGCGTGGCTGGGTATTGCTTCTTATCTCTATTTTCCCTTTACTCAAGGAGAATAGGGATTCCTTCTGAGGGTTTGTGTAATGGTCACAATATCCTGCTAGTAAAGTGGAAGGTCTCAGATTAAGTTCCTAATAAGGAATGAAATGTTTCAAGATTATGTTCCTCGTCTCCATATAATAAGAAAACTTTCCATGTACCATCTCCAAGGAACACAAATTCAATTTGAAACAATAAATGAAAAAAAAAATTAGACAGAATTTAAATTATATCTTAAATAGTAATTTCAATCTTGTTTAAAAAAAATCTACTCAGAAAAATCTTTAATCTCAAAAATACCAAAACCAAAAGTAAATTTTAAGTATTGAAAAAGTAGCTATTATCACTGATTGCAGATTAATTGACTTAACAAGGGGATAAAACAATCTACCATCAATTAACAACAACTAAATTAAAAGAGTGTTTCATTTTACTTCCAAGTAAGCATCAAATTCTAGATCCAAACCATAAGTCACAATTAATAAACAATCCAAATAAAGACATTAGTCCATTTAAGCCCAAAGAATCCTGTTAACCTTCCAGCATGCGTGCTGGATTTAGCAATTTTACATGAGCGCACGTGCGTCGTATTTTGCACAACATCCATTATTTTACCGTTTTCGGCACGAAAAACAACAGAAATGGGTGAATATCGATAATAAATCTGTTAAGAAATAAAATATTAATCTTATTATTCTAAAATACAAATTATATCACATTCAAATATAAGTAAATGATTTTTAAGTCTTATGTAGTGAGATGGAAATGCATGATTATTTCATATAAACTTAAATTTATTATTAAAATTATATTTTAAATTGAAGCTAATTTTAACATTCCTTAAAGCAAGTATAAGAAATAAAAAAGGAAACACCTTGGTAGGGAAAAAAGTTTAACATTACTTACTTCTTCCAAGGAAAATTATTCTGCTGGTTACAAAACGCATTTAAACTACTTTAATATTTTATTTATTGATAAAAAATAGAATAAAGAAATAGGAATGGAAATTGGCTATTGTTCTCCCTCAAAGTTTCTTGTCTTCCTATTCTTCTCAGAATTCTTGAAGAAGTGGGCAAATCATCTGGTTGCACATATTTTTTTTGCCTTAACTGTATAAATTTACGAGCCAAATGTATTCAATTCAAATAATACACGGCAATAATACACAAATTTGAGGAAAAAATATTTTCCGAATTTCACCCCCGCAATGCCATGTGGTGTCGTACTTTTACGAAAAAGCTGCCACATAGCTCAGTAAAAAAAAGTCAAGACTCCTGTTGCACATGCCATATGTGGGGAAGGGTAGAAAGGAGGAATAGAATGACATTCAGATGTCTCAGCTGATATTCGAAAACTGTCATTAAAACTTATTTTCTATTTTGCGCAATGCACGTGCTGGAAGTTAAACAAAACATCAATAATATTATAATCAAGTTTTTCATTAAGAACATATTAATCTGAACAGAGCTTACTTTAGAAACAATTTCCTGCGTCTCATTTAAGCAAAAACATAGTGAACATTAAAGTTATTCAAATCATATTTTTTTTTCATTCATGTTTTAAATTTTTTTTTTTTTGAAATGTATATGAAAGTTTTCTTACGAAAATTATTGGTTTATTGCATCTTTAGTGCAAGTATAGGCTTTTTAATTACTTTATTTTGAATATATAATATATATATATAGATAAAAGGGAGGGGCTATTTCTGCAGGGTATTTAGATTTTTATTTCCATTTCCTGGGTGGATACAAGCAAAGAATTAGTATTAGAATATGTTACTACATAAGTTGCTCTCTTTAGTTATGAAAACAGTCTTATCAAGCACACTTGAAAGCACGGTGAATGAATCCACCAATCAATTTGTCTTCAACTTGGGCATTTATAATGCATGTTGATGAGACCTTCTATTTTCATCAAATAACCCTACACTAGATTGTAATACCAATGATTTATGAATGTGTTGAGCAAGAATAGTATAATAATGCAATTAATAATATTAAATGAAATTTCTACAAATATAATTTAGAAATGAAGCTAGAAATCTTCCAGATACTCAATGCTCTTATCAAATATTTGTTTCTTTGCAACAGTTAAAATCAAATGCTGTTTCTGACTGATTTAATTCCCCTCACAAGTGTAAGTCCAGTGTTAAGTAGATTTTCAAATTTTTGTTCCTAGATTTAATATTATTATTGAATTATTGAAGTTTTTTTATATGAAAATGGCCTGTAAATCTGCCATTACATATATCATATCAGTAAAAAATTGCCAATATTGAATCTCTCTACATCCCACATAATCACTAATTCATAAAATAAAACCTCTACATCCAATATCAAGATTGAATGCAACCAGTGATTAAATATTAGACAAATTTGGTTATAATAAAGAGAATATTCTTATTTATTAAGAGAACGATGTATTACAGCTATTATGTTGGAGTTCTAATTAATCAATTCCAAATAATTACTTATATGAATGAAAATACAAATCTCAAAATATGACTGAAAAAATGACAAAAGAATTCAATGTTTAAAAATTTCATACTTAATCTTACATTTCCAGATTTATAATAAATATCTTTTAAATTTTTGCTTACATAAACTAAATACTCAAAGTGAACATTAAACTATTTCTTCAACATTTATAGCGGCTTGCTTTCATTTGCAATTCCTCAGTAAAATTAACATTCATCAATTGAAAAATTATTATTAACCTCTTCGTCGTCCATGACGCGTCTAGCGTGTTTAAGTGAAACTTCCGCAGGGCGGCCGTAACGCGCTACAAGCATTCTTCTACATTTTAAAACTTTTAAACATTTAAAATGCTTTCTAAATGTTTACTTGTTTGAGTTTTTATTTTTGTTTGTTCTAATATCTCTCAGAGGGCAGCCCTAATCAGGCTTTTTCTATGATTTGCCCCGGTTTTATGAAATTCGTGCATTTACCTAAAGATAAGACGTGAGAGATGCTTCAACTCTATCGCAGAAAAAGAGAAAAACTGGGTTGTGAATGAAAGACAGAAGGATATACGTTTGATGATACCGTCCATATAACTTGATGTTGAGTTGGAACACGGAAAAGAACTGGGGAAAAAACCAATATTGTAAAAGATTAATTAATTAACACCAAAATGGGAGGAGTGGACCACTGATTAGATGTTATCAAATTATCCGCGTTAGAAATAAGAGAGTATTATTTTTCCATTTCTTTATTCCTAATATTCATGACATTCATCCACATGAAAGTTATGATGTACAGAGAAAACAACATCACACGCTACGAAAAACAGATGGCTGCTGGGGGGAAATTTTCGTGGACAGGAGAGGACGGCGAAAGGGTTAATTATTACAGTATGATTAATGTAAAAATTTATGTTTTATTTTAAACTCATTACTTTTTGTTGCTGCTAATTATCCTAATTTATTTTTCATTAGTAATGTATCTTTAAATATTAAATGATCTAATTTTAGTTGTTAATGTCCGAGGTAATAAAATAGAATATTTACACATTCTCATATTTTGCATAAGTAGGTGCAGAATGATTTTTTTTTTTTTTTTTTTTTAATTCTTAGGCTGTTTCTGGCCTTGGATCTGTACCAGGGTGACACATTAAGCAATTTTATATTATTTCAATAACCACAAAGAACAATAATGATAAATAAACAAAGTTTCATGTAGGGACATTAAATATATATGAATAAGAATAGTATCATATATATTTAATGTCCCTAATCTTCTGGAGTGGAGGGATGTTATAACAATAAATTATAAATCTTTCACGTTAAGTATTATTATTAGCAACAAGTAATGTGGTGATACTTAAATTTTGAAAATTTTTAAACTACAATTTCTAAAACTCCTTGGAGAAACTAAGGAAAAAGTTTCTTGTAGTTTACAAAGAACATGTTTAAAATGCAATAGAAAATGGCAACATTTTACATTCAAAAGTTCAGTAGAAGTATATTTTCTACAGTCTCCTTCAGGTGAAATGTGAATGAAACTTGACTTTTTTCATGATATCACAGCAGATGAAAAATATGCTTCATCAGAATTAAATATCAACAGGTTCAACAGTACCAATTTTTTGTTGAACTATTTTTCCGTATCCTCCTCGACCCACATCGTAATCTGTTCTGTATTCATCTCGGACCTAAGAACATTTTAAATAATGCACATTATTTAGATAAATTAAATTTTCATGTAACTTAAACAGAATTGTGAAAAATCACAAAATAATTAACAAAATTAGTCAGTATCAACAATAAAAATTACAATCAATTCAGCTTGTTTATTAAGTTAGGTATGTATTTAATATAGGAAAATATGGCAGGGTTATTTATGATAAATCTAATTCTTAACCGCTTGCCTGATTATCCCGAGTTATCTCGGGTTCGTATATACAGTAAACTCTCGCTACAACGATACCCGATACAACAATAACTCCCTCTACTACAATAATGTTTTGTGGTCCCGGTGATTTTGCATATAAACTAATGTTAATCTCCCCTCAATATTGCTATATTCTCTAGAACAATAAACCTCTGTAAAACGATTTTTTCAATCTAAATTTCAGTATTATTTGCTCCCTTTAGAATAATATTTTGATTTTCAAATGCTTTTTTTTCGTTTTCTTTTGTTATTTTTTCCGTCTATTAAGATCATTGTGGATATTCAACTTATCCCTGAATAAATAGCTATTGTTCAGATTTCAAAACAGATGACGACCACCCTTTGGGAATTGGAGTGGTGAGGGGGTGAAGGTAAATGTATGCCTAGTCTCATTTCCAGTAAGCTTTGGAATTCTGATAAGGTTTACGGACATCTAGACCTGTCTGGTCACCTTGTCACAGAACAAGTGCCCTTTGTTAGAGGACAGGGGGAGATGGAGGTGGGGTGTTGTTAAGTGACGTACTGAAAAGTGAGTTTCAAAGGTTGTTTTATAGCCTTTAACGATTTTTTCTACACGAAAACCATTTGGTTTAAAACTTTTCTTTCTTTCACGCGATATTGTTCCCTAAGATGCAGGGGCGAAAGCAACTATCTTTCGAGATAAACTGAATGTTATCAATGATATTGATGAGGGAATAAAGCAGATTGATGGCGTCTAAGAAACATGGATTATCGCAATCTACAGTTGCAACGTTCCTAAAGAAGAGAAAGCAAATCGAAGATGGCTTAACTTCAAATGAAATTAACCCAGAGCGAAACGACTGAAAGTTGCGACAAATGAAAACATTGATGCTGCTGTTTTAAAATGGTTTCAAGAGATGAGAGCAAAACATGTCCCAATAAATGGACCTTATTATGTGCAAAAGCATGGAAATTTGCAGCAATGCTAGGGAACGAAACTTTTTCAAAGCTAGGAATGGTTGGGTTAATGCGTTTTCGAGATCGTCATGGATAACTTTCAAGAAGTTCACGGAGAGAAAAAGTCAGCTCCGACCGATAAACGACGCAAATGAATGGGGCAAAACAAGATAAAGAAATCTGAGAAAAGTATGCCCTCCAGAAGACATTTATAATGCAGATGAAATGCTGGGCTGTTTTTCCAACTCCTACCCGATCAAACATTGGCATTCAAGGGTGAAAAGTGTTATGGAGGGAAGAAATCAAAGCAGAGACTGACTGTTCTTCTGTGTACAAATAGCACAGGAACGCCATAGAATACAACCTCTCGTCATTGGTAAATCATTGAAGCCAAGGTCTTTAAGAAAGTGAAAAGTCTTCCAGTGGAGTATAAAGCAAATAAGAAGGCTGGATGACGTCTAAATTTTTTCCGAATGGTTACAGAAGTTAGACAATGAATGAAGAAGAGAAGAAAAAAATTGTTTTGTTGATAGATAACTGCGGTGCTCACACGTCATTTCCAAAGCTACAAAATATCGAAATCGCTTTTTTCCCTGCCAATTGCACTTCAATTTTTACAGCCTCTTCATATGGGCATAATTAAGTGCTTCAAAGAATATTACAGAAAACGGTTGGTGGACTCCATACTTGTAAACTTTGAAAATAAAGTAGAAGACCCTTTCAAAGCTGTAAATGTCAAGGAAGCGTGTGATAATATTGCTGGAAATTGGTGGGAAGTAACATAAAAAAACCATTCGGAATTGCTGGAAAAAGGCCGGTCTTTGTGTTATGGAAGATAAGAAATCTGATAATGATGAAAATTCCATAGACAATGAATGATCTCTCAGATGATCAAGAATGTGTTTTGCACATAAAAAAATCCGTATCCCAACTTGAGGAAACAAGCGGTAAAAAGTTTGGAATTAGTATAGAAGACCATTTAACAGCAGATGATGATCTTATGGTTTTCGCAGGAGTTACTGATGAAGATATTCTCTCTGAAATTACTGATGAGATAGGAAACAATGATGAAGATGATGATGATAATACAGGTCCATCGCAGTCCTTATTGTCATCTCAGGAAGCTCTTCAATCTGTGAATTCTCTCTACGGACATTTTTTTCAAGCCTTCCGTCGACAAATGAAGAAATTTTCGTGCACTAGACCTCAATGCATACAGTATTGGTGAACTTAACAGTTAAAAAATCAATAAACAAACAAAATATTGGATTATTTTCAATAAAAGTGTTTCAGGTATGTGAATATTTCTGTGCTTATTTTCTGAATTTATCTTATTTATTTATATTTTTTTAAGTATTTAAAACCACTATTATTAGTATTTTACAAATTAATTTTTCTAAATATAGACTTAAAGTATGTTATGCACCTTAAACTAATAATAATAAAAAAAACTCTTATTAAATGCAAAATATGTGGGCCCTTGATATAACAATATGCCTCTCTACAACAATATATTTATTTGGGTCCCTAAAATATTGTTGTAAGGAGGTTTCACTGTATTGGCAGTTAATTATTATCCTGAGAAAACTCGGGCGAAGCAGAATTTGTAAGTACTGTTTTCTTTTCCACACAGTTTTAATTAACTTCGGTCTGGAGGAAATGAAAGGAAATATTCAGCTTTGATTGGCAATTTGCCAAATTTTGTTGGTTGCGCGATTCTTTTGGAGGAATTGGTCACGTGTTTCCCTATTGTATTGTATACGTTGGCTTGTGGATTAGTAATGTATAAAAGAAAAATGCAGGCGTTGAAAAAAAAATAAAATGATGGAGATGATGCAAGATAGCGAAAGCGATGATTTTTCAGATAATAATTATGAAAGAGGTGGGGGAAAAAAATAAAATCCAACGAGACAGTGTACTCTGTGCTCCCATGAAAGAGATTCCAGCGGTAAGCCAGTAAGAAAAGAGACCAGATACCAGTGTAGAATGTCGGGCATCACTCTGTGTTGTCCCTTGTTTCAAAAACTATCATACAAAGATTAACATTTAACTTTTTTCCTTTTGCCTGAGATAACTCGAGATAGTAAACTAATATTAAAAATAAATGCTTTTACACCTTCAAAAAATTAAAAATTCAACTTAAAACTTACATATTTTGATTTGATTCGTTTTGTTGTATTTAATAATAAAATAAAAAAAAATGTGATGATTTTTTGCAATTTTTTTCAAAAAAATTTGTAAGGGAAGCAGTTAAGAGATATATGCAAGTATCAGATTCATGTATTCAATGCTTCCATCAGTATCATTTGGGAATAGATTATTTAGGTCTGCTAGATGGACCTCCAGCTTTCTTTTGGTTGTAAACCATCAGAATTTTCCAGTAAATCAGCAAAAACTACATCAAGATATATCATATCAAATATAAATATTTAAACAATTATCTAATATTTTTCTTGAAATTTTATTTCAAGATATAACTAAATCATTTTCACATAAAAGTACTTTTCTCTGTTATTTTTTTTATAAAATATCACAAAGGCATTGACTATTACTGAGCATTTTACACTAAATAATATACACTAATACTAAGTAACACTGATAATTTTACACTAAATAATATGTAATAGCTGAGTATGAGCATATATTTATCGCAAAAATAAGGTGAGTTTGTTATCATTTGCAGTTTTTCTCTCATTTAAATTCAAAGCAAATTTAAATGGAGGCACATGAACAATTTTGCAACAGTAAAATAAATAAAATTAAACAAAAATTTTATTTTTTACAATCAGAGTAGAATTATTTATTTTCATTAAACTAATATATTAATTATTGACAACTAAAAAATTCAAATTTAAAGTATATTAATGTGTACCTGTCCACCAGTTCTTCCTCTTCCATACTGTCTTCCCTCTACAAAACCTGCATCCCAGTCAGTCCTAATGATTCGATCATCAAGTTTAGTCCCATTTACATACCTCATTGCATCTTCAGCATCTTCACGAACATAGTATCTTTAAAATTTAAGGAAGAATACTACAAAAAGTAATTAACAAAATGCAATACATGCAATTACATAATATACAACCACAATAGCTTTGTGCTGTTACTGAAACATCTAGAGCTTCAACCAGAGATCTATACTTAAATTATTTGCATTCACAAATCAATCATATTTGTATTTACAATCAGTACATAATAATTTCTTGTAATCAATTTATAATTATCACTGACTAACTAGAATCATCAGCAAGAAACTATTATATGGAAATACATGATCAATTTATAATATTTCTGCATAATTTAGTTTCTGAACAGAAATGCACAACTTACTGAAAAAGGAATGTAGCTTTCCCAACAAGTAGACAGCAAAAAATGATTTGATTAATTATGATAAAGGAAATTAGGGTTTTTTGCTTAGATAGTGGTTAGTTTATGAAAAACTTCTTAAACAAAACTGTTTTGCATATACACTGCAAACAAGAAAATTATAAAAACATCTATTTTTACCAGGCATTTACATACCAAGAACTGAATCGAAGATTTAACCATCAGTGTTCTAGCTGCTGTATTTGGTGGTGATATAGGAATTTTCAGATAAAAAATTTTGCAGTTTAAAATTGTTCTTTCATAATTCAAGTTTCATAATTCTATACCCTTTTCTCACCTTAAGTTAGAAATATCATTTCCTGGTTTTTCCAAACAAATGAGTTGTTTATCTACAATAAATATGCTATTACAATAAATATGCTATAATATTATGGATTGGATGAGTAAATGGAATATTATGTGCATGCTATATATGTATACACATATCATCAAGTATAAAATCATTTATATATAATTTTTATGTCGCGATGAAATTACCGAAATGCTTAAAAATCTAGTATTTTTAAAAACTGTTTTCTTCCACAGAATAACGGCAAATTATGAAACATTACGCAACATTGAAAAGCGTGATGAACAAATTTTGCGAAAAGAAATAGCGACTGCTGCACGTATCTCACAGATGTCTTTCATTCAACACAAAAGTGGAAAAGTTCTATTCCTGTTCAAAACATACCCTGCAGTCTGAGTCACAGTTGGAAGAAATGACAGCAGGTCTTTTGTTCAACTGAGGGGATGTGTTTAAGTGTTTTATGGCTTACTCACTTTCCCGCCAAACGAGTACAGAGGAAGGGAAGCGTCGTTGCCATAGTAACCAAGCTGTAGGTAGTCTTACAGATTTGAGTCTTTATCGCTCAACGTTCGTAGCGCCATCTGTTATTAAAAATCAACATGAGAAAGGGGTATTAAACGCTCTTAAGGAAATACATTATTAGATTTGTAGCATTATTATACATGCTACAAATCTCTCTATAAACTTCATATATATATATATATATATTTTATAAACCTAATTTTCATTCCGCTTTGCAGCACTAAACTATTTTTGATTTTTTGAAATTCTGTACAAAGTATGCAGACAAATTTTTAACTGAACTACTGAATCCCTTTGCTCCATGATAGACATTTATCACATTGTTCAAAAACAGAAGTTCTTCCAGAAACACTTAGTTTTAAGAAAAAAGAGAAAGAAAGGTAATATCCAATTATTTGCATTCTTCTCTGAAAAGCTGGCAAATCATTAAGCTAAAATAGCTATTTTGAAAATCATGTGGCACTAAGAGTTCCGTAAAAAAAAGCAATGACTCCATAGCCCAGGAGTACACAACTGAAATGTGTAAAGGTCCATATAAGAAATATTGAAATTGGTGAGGGCCGAACTTTGCAAATAATAAGCTGAAATCTGCAGGAGTGTAAGTGTAAGTATAGGTTCTACCACCTACATATTTGAATTTAAATATTTCAAAAAAGTTTTCAAGCTTTCCTATTTAACACAAGATACAGTTAATTAAATAAACAGAGAACAAAGTATTTTAATATTAAAGTTGGAAATATAAGTATAAATAAACCATAAAAAATTTTGAAAGAAAAAAAAAATATTTTCTAACTTTATATGTAAAAAAAAATATACTATTCAATGTTTCAAAATTAAATCCTGCTTAAAACAAACAAAGTGTACTCAACAAAACATGTTTTATAGTTTCAATCAATTCCTTTTTCTGGGTGCAAGCTAAATTATCAAAGATCAGTGACGGGCTGCAGAAAATCACTCGGTAGGCTGCATATGGCCTCTAGACCACATATTGTGCACCCCTGCCATAGTACAAGAAAAATAAAAATGCACTCAATGCAACTAAAACAAACGCTAAAGACTGTCAGATTTGAAAATAAAAATTGCTGTGCATGCCTAGTTGCCACATAATTGCATATTGACAACATCATGGGTTGCCTACTTTGGTAGCACAGCGCCAGTGAATATGTTTTAGCTGGGCACAGATAATCAGAAACCACCAAAAAATATATGAGATTTGCAGACTCCATTATAATCATCAACATAAATGCACACACAGTAAAACTGAATTAGACCATGAATAAATAGAAGTGTGTCTGACTGTAACAAGATAATTTCCATTTAAAGAAATGGGTATGTAAGGACTTTTAAGACTACCAATAAAAAAAATGAGGACTCATCAGCAAACAGAATAAAATAATTAAAATAATACTTTCAGATTATTTCACTGACCATAAAATTGTTGGCAAGCAGTATGATTTAGGGCCAGTTATGAATAAGTGTGACATACGAACACACTCATAACATCTGCATTTTCATCTGATGTAACTCAATAACTGATTCTCGGTAAAGTACATTTTATTTTTATAAATAAGGGTATAAATTAACTGTCATTGCTGTATTTTTTCTTACCATTTTGAAAAAGATGATTAAATTTTGGTACCTGCTTTCTACAGAACAGCAAATAATGGATTATTTTCAAAGTTATGGAATCCTAACATTAAAAAAAGTTTCCATTAATGGACACAATATGGCTAACAAAACAGTAATAGACTGAAACATATGTTCACCGTGTTGCCTCTAAACAAAGCTTTCAATGAAACCGTAGAGCCTAACAAAACAGTGCAATTTCATGAAAGCCTTTTAACAAAGCTTTAAAAAATTGATTACTGACAGTTTATTATATAAAAAAGCATCAGTTGCTTCAGAATTCTGCAGGAACAACTGGAACAATTTTGGCAGAATCTCTGCCAACTTTCAGGGTCTATGGGATAATATGTAAGCACCATTAAAATAACTACATATGCAAATGACTGCTCATGCTGAGAATAATATAGAAGATACATTATTATTAAAATTTAACATTTAGGATAAGTGTAAAAAAAAGGTTTGAAAAATTAAACTAGCTTCTAAGAATTTTCAAGAATTGAAACATTAAGTTACAAGAATAATCTTTTGATACATTTCTATTTTACACTTATAATAGTCATATCCATTTTAAACATATTCATTAGGAAAGCACTGTTAAAACCCTATTCTAAGGAAATTTTGCAATTTATAGTAACTAATTTATTAGCCTGGTAAAAAAATATATATTAAAAGATACAAAATATTCATATATATTTTTGCAAGTAAAGCAATCATTGATATTTCTTTAAATAGTATGTCCAGATAGCAGGTTAACAATTTATTACGAAAATAAGCACAATAACTAGTTGGAAGTAACACAAGGAGAATTTGGATATGAAACAATTCCACCTTAGCACAAAAAAAGAAAATAAAACGTTAAGTTCCTCAAATCACTCTCAAACCTCTAACTCACACTGATTCAGCTTACAGGTAAATGTCACTACTGAACTCTTTAGCTCTCTGACACGTATTTATTTTCTATAGCAATGACTCTGGCAACTTCTAGAAAAATCAGTCTTATGGTTTCAGAAATGTGTTTTTGAGAATCATCCACAAAGCCCCAAGTTGGCACGAAATCGTCAAATGTCATGCCACTTTCTTTGTTACCAAGTCATCAACTTGGTAACAAAAATTTTCGCCGAGGTGTATCAGGAACAAAATTACCTATACCTCACCTGTTAATTGAGCTATCTTTAAAATTTTACTGCTGCTGCACTTAGAATTAAAAGATCTATAATTATAAATAACAAATAAGCCCTTAAATCATATGTCTGCAAATTAGATTAAACACAAAATAAACTCCCAAATTATCAATTTAAAAACATTACAAAACACCACAATGATACAGAAAAATAAAAATATAATAAAAAAAAAGAATTCAAATATTTACAAATGTTTAAAACAATATATATTTCCTTTTTTAATATTTCAATATATTACTTTTTTATGATATGAAAAAGAAACCATCGCATACATTTTAAATTAATGACATCTCAGACACTTTATAATAAAAATTTATTCATTACAAATTTTTAAGAATTAGGTTAGTTTGATATGACTTTTTCAAATGACAACTAAGAATTTATATAGATAAAAATTAAAGGTGTAAAACCTATAACCTTATTTAGCTCTTGAACATCTGTGCTGACATAAAATAAAAAGGATACTCAACAAAACAAAATCCACATGGAGTCTTCTTGAATCTGTCTAAACCAACAATAACCCTCTTAACATCACCACACTTTGAAAATAGCTCATATATTTGCAAGTCTGTTGTATAAAAACTAAGGTTACCAACATATAAAGTACAGCTTTTTTGAAGCAATCTCTCTAATTCTGCTCTGGAACCCTTTAAAGGAAAAAAAAAAAAAAAAAAAAGTCGTATGTCGATAACAGAACATAAATTAAATCACATATAATGAATTAATTTGTTAAATATACAGGCTCAGAACAACCAATTATTTAAAACATTAACACTAGAACCTCAGAGCTAAAAAAAAATCATTTTATGATTTTTAATAATTTAAGGTAAACAGTAACTTGCAGAGTTTGAAAATGCATAACATAAATAAATTTCACCGCGAAGCGTAAGAAGAATTTGACGCATAAGAAATGTTTATGCCTAAATGACAAAAAACAGATGCATTTTCTCAGAAGTAACTAATCTAGAGTATATCTGCCTCACCTTCGAATTCCTCAAATGGAAGTAGGAACCATTCCCTCACTAATTACAATAAAATTACAACGAATACTTCGAAAGATTTTTTGAAGTTGTTTTTATTCTATATTTAGTATAGGGATAGGTAAGATGTCAAGATGTTGTTCAGGACTGTTCAACACTATTCAGGAAGTTTTACAACAATAATATGAAAAATAATCAGATGATGATGATGATGATAATGATGACAGTGTTTGGATTTTGAGTAGCGAGGATGAATACCTGCTTGCTAATGACGGACATTCCAATTCAGATGAAGAAAATGAAAGTGATGATGACTCTGGCAGTGCCTTAACAATCACTGGACCTTCTCATTGCAATGATAATGATAATTTATCAGATAAAAAAGAAAAAAATCAAAAATTCTAAGAACAGACGCTTGCACTCAAGGAAATCTGAAAAGAAAATCACCAGTAACATTCAAAGTTGGAAAAAATGAAGCTGGCAAAGATGGGACAGTTTGGAATGGCGTATAAGTAGGAACAAATGATAAAGGAAAAATAAATAAATAAATAAAAGGGAAATATTTTGAAGGAAGTTGGAGGTCCAACACCACATGCTAAACACAATTTATAGACAACAGTCTGTCAAGTGCCTGGAGACCTTCATAGATGGAATGGATATTGAAGCATATAAAAAAATGCACTGAAGACGAAGCTTATCAACAGATTCATGAAAATAAATGGAATATAAAAATAGAAGAAATGGATGCTTTTACAGAAAATTTATATGCACGTGGTATATATTGTGTAAAACGTCTTGAACTGGATAACTTGTGGTCAATAAACTAGGGATCACCATTTTTCCGAAATACAATGTTCAGAGACAAATTTCATGAAATTATAATGTTCCAACCTAGAATTTACAGCTAAATGTGTGGAACCTTGTGAACTGGTAAGTGAATAATCGCTTAGTTGAGAAAGCTAGAAACGTAAACGTACGAAGGGTCAATTATCTTTTATTGCTCAAATCAAGTTCACAGTCGGTCCTCTCTCAGGATGTACGAAAAAGCCTCTACTTGGACTTGAACTCAAGAATGCTACGAAATAAAACTTAACTAAAGAGATATAGCTGAAGCTATCACAACTTTACAGGGGTTGGCCCCTTAACGCTAACTAAATGACGAAGCTATCGAGGGCCTAAAGTACGCCCAAGCGTAGAAATAGCTTTAAAGAGAGAGTAGCCTAAAAGGCGAATGCACGCTGGTCTGAATCTCTGGCTCTGTAAAGGAACTTCAACTTTAAATACTTGCTCTTCCTTCAACATTTAACCGCAATTCCGTAAGCACGCTCTGGCAGGAAATAGTAAGCTGAAATTAAGAAGGATACGAAAGTAGCTTTAACTCAAAATTAACTGTTAAAAACTTAGGATAAAACTTTCAAAATATTGAGATTCTTATGCTCTGATATAAAATCAATGATATCAAATCTTCTAGAGACACAAAAATTTGCTCTTATCTCTGATATTTGGAATAATTTCACTGAAAATTGCCAGACTAACTACATACACCAGGTCCCAATATAAATGTAGATAAACAGTTATTTCCTACAAAAACTAGGTGTAGATTTACTCAATACATACCAAACAAACCAGATAAATTTGGAATCAAGTTATGGTTAGCTGCAGATGTTGACTCAAAATATCTAATAAATGAAGATATGGGAATCGAACGTTTCACTTTCTGAAGTCCATCCAATGTTTCACTTTCTGAACACGTAGTACTGCGACTATCAAGTCCACATGAAAACAAATACTGAAATGTCATTACAGATAACATTATCACAACACTGAAGCTTGCAGAGGCACTTAAATCCCAAAACACCACACTTGGAGGAACTGTAAAATGCTCTAGAACAGAAATGCCAGTCTCTGTAAAAATGGCAAAATCCGCATTGCATGCAACTACAGTACTAACACATAAAGACATCAGTCTAACTATATATCAAGGGAAAAAAGATAAAAAGTTCTGATGCTAAGTAGTCTGCATCTAACTGTAGAAATTATAAACAGTCCCAAAAAATTACCTAATACAACTGCTTACCACAATGCAACTAAATATGGTGTAGATGTGACTGATCAAATGGCAAGGAAAAATACTGCCAAGTCTGTTTCACATAGGTGGCCGGTGCAGGTTTTTTTAATAATATTTTGGACCTTGCTGTTATCAGTGCCTGAATTTCACACAAAGCTGTATCTGGAAAATCTATTAATAGACGGCAATTCCCTCAAGAATTAGTTGAAGAACTGAGAGAAAAGTTTGTTCTCTCTTGGAAAAAAAGGTGACATACGGGTATATAGCAACCATTGAAAACGACGGAGTTAAGCCTAAACGAGTCCAATGCCACAGTTCAAAATGTAAAAATAAAATCCAAGATATTTGTTCAAAATGCAAAGTGCTCATTTAAGGTAAATGTACAAAACATATTACTAAATTTTGTGTACAATAAATTGGATTTTTTAAAATCTGTAAAACTAGTATGTAATTGGTAAATTTTCTATTTTTTTCTCTACAATTATGTCTAAACTTATTTAAATGATATACTTTGTTTTTCTATCAAAATTAGAAAAATTATATTTTACTTTGTTCAAAAGACATGTTATTATTCTTAAGGAAACAAAATTTATATATAATATGATTATTATATATTTTAATATGATTTTCTAAAATTTTAAGTAATATGCTACTGTTAACTAGACACTCTCATAAAATTAAAGATAATTCATACTACAAACAAATAGTAAAGATAGGCCTTACACAAGTAGAGTACATTGAACTGACGACTCACAGATAACAGAGCAGCAGATTAGTGGATTAGTGTAGTTATCTCTAACAATAGTAATACCCAAGTAATTGAAGAGCAACAAAAATATTCTCTTGATAGAATAACAAAGATAGGTACTACAACTATAATAGCAGTTGCAACTATTCCAAGCCAAACACCTAAGGTACCAGAAAATTGAGTCCCATAACTCCCTACTCAATTTGAGCCAGATAGTACAACAACAACTGAAAATCAACATTAGAAAAATAGCTCACCCCGTAGAATAGTAACTGGACTGTAAGAGAAAAAATTATTTTAATGTAAGCTTATTACTACCCACCTCGCGTGTACTTATTAAAAATATTGTAAAGCAGTTAAAAATGGCATAGAAAATTCAATCAATGTATAACTGAATTACAAATTTATTTAGATTACCTCAGTAAAAATATTGTAAATATGAAACCAGATAATGTTTAGATGTGCATATAACTGTCATGATTATATCTAATTATCACATGTAACTTGTACAAGACAATGCCTGTAATTAACATATCTATCTATGCTTATACACAGGCCTTGTATGCCCATGTAATATTTATATTTTTATACGGAAGAAATAATCCCTTCTGTCAGGATGACTTTTTACACTGTAATACTTTTACAACAAAGTCAAATCAGTGGTCATCCCAAGTGGCGCTCAGTCAATAATAGTACAGCAAAAGATTGGCTATCTACAAAGAAATTCTGAACGTCAGAAAAGTGAAAATTCCAGATGGTTGAACATATAAAAAGTGCAATTCATGGTAGAAAAGCCAAATGACTGGAAGAAGAAATTTTTGGCCTAAAATATAACAGAAAGACACTTATTTGTTATCAACTTGAAAATAAAAAGCCTATGTTTAAAATTCTATAAATTTCAGACAAAGGTGCATTGCAGTCATAAAAACTGATTATTTCATGGGTTTTGAAAAATATGAGGGTTAAAACATATTATCTGACTATGAATCCAGTAAAACCACAAGAGTTTCAGAAATGCCACCAAACTTGCCACAAACCTTCAGACAAAAGTCTAAAGGAACAAATAATTCTTTAGTTAGTTAATTAGTCGTCAGGTACAAGTTAATGATACAGTATGTATAAAAATAAATCTTAAAACATTTATTATAATTTTTCACATTGTTTATCTGTTTTCAAATAAAATTATAGCATGCCCATTTAATGCACATTTCTTTATGCCAGTATCCCATAACTTTGAAAATATTCCACTGCATGCTGTTCCATATTCCACATTTTCGTAATTTTTTTTAAATGCAAAGGAAACCTGCTTACTAAGAACTCAATGGATTTATATTACACTCTGAGCCTCTTATAAGAAGGGGATAATAGTGCATGCCACCATTTTAAAGCTTATAAGCCATACAGAAATAGCAATGAATATTATGTTGTGTTACGGATATTACTATAGAAGGAGAAAAATTTTTTCCGCCTGTTTCTGCTAGCAAAAAAGGAAGTGCATGTTGGCAGGTGAAATATGTTTGGAAATTAAAGAAAGTGTAGTTAGAATCTAATGTTTTAGTCATTTTGAAATTGCAAATTTAGTTTTTCCAAAAATTAAGCTATGTTCTTAATAATAATAATAATAATAATTTTTTGTACTAAATTCATATTATATAAAATTTTAATTCTCTGAACTTCCCGTGTAATATTTTAAGCGAGAGACATGGTCAATAAAAAAGTCAAAGAAAGGTGTATCTGTTTCTAAGACTTCAATGAAGATGAGCAGGAGTTAGTTATTGTTAGCTTAAAAACAGTGGAATGTGCCAGTTATTTCCAATAAAGGCCTAATTAAAACCAAGGCAGGGATCTTAT